CACACACACACACACACGCCAGCACACACTGGCCTCAAGACTTCGTGTGAGCACTGTCCACTGAGCTACATCCTCCAGCCCTCTTGAGTACTATAGTGAAACTCTTCTTAGACAGCTAACTCTCCTAACATTTTGTTTTCTCTCTTAACTGAGACCAGCAGTTACTTTTATTAGGGTCTATTCTTTTAACTGTTTTCTTTTTTTTAATATTTATTTATTTAGTATACAATATTCTGTCTGTGTGCCTGAAGACCAGAAGAGGGCGCCAGACCTCTTTACAGATGGTTGTGAGCCACCATGTGCTTGCTGGGAATTGAACTCAGGACCCTTGGAAGAGCAGACAATGCTCTTAACCACTGAGCCATCTCTCCGGCCCCCGGCTATGGTTCTTATTTTGAATTAAAAGTACTAGACTTTGTAGAGTATCTTTTGGCATAAGTCATACCATTTTTTTTAAATGTAATGTGAGGTGAGGTGGGATGGTAACCTTAAGTGACCTGTAAAGTGACTGTAGGTCAGGTCACTGAAAGATGAGAACGAGGGTTTAAGTAGGGTTGTGTTTTTTTTTTTTTTTTTTTTTTTTTTTTTTTTTTTTTTTTTTTTTTTTTTTTTGCTACAGCAAACAATAGAAGATAATTCAGGGGCTGGAGAGATGGCTTATTGGTTAAGAGTACCTGCTGCTCTTCCAAAGGTCAGAGTTCAGGTCCTGGTCTCCACATTGGACAACTCAAAATTGTCTGACTTTAGGCCCTAGGTGGGCCATTGCTCTATTCTGACCCCCACAGGCATGTACGCTTGTGTGCACATTAACAAATACATAAGTAAAAACAAAAAAAATCAACCTTAAAAATTATTCAGGGGTAGTATTCATAGTAAGTAAATAAGCAGAGCAGCATACTTATAGTGGTACTTATAGACTAATCTGGGAATGTTTGTTTACACATGATCTTTGTTTCTTTGAATAGGTACTTAAAACGATTTAAAGTCATGAAGCCAAAGGTCTTAAGAAGTTGGTGCAGACAAATTTTAAAAGGATTGCAGTTCTTGCACACAAGGACCCCTCCTATTATTCACCGGGATCTGAAGTGTGACAACATTTTTATCACAGGACCCACTGGATCTGTGAAGATTGGTGATCTGGGACTTGCAACCTTAATGCGCACATCATTTGCCAAGAGTGTCATTGGTGACTAGTATTTTACAGTTTACTGCTGGGTGTTAGATTTGTCAGTTGTATAGGACTGGAATAAAGCTGATGAGTTAGCTACAGTTTTGGGCAAAATTTTGAACACTGCCTGTTTTTTAAGGTTTTGTTTTTCTTACACACACACTATTTTTTTTTAAAATTAAGACAGGATCTTCTGTAACCTGGTCAGGCCTCAAATTTGCTATGTAATATATGACCTTGAACACTCCAGTCTTGGGATTTTAGGACCCAGACAGCACATTCAACCGTTAATTTGCTTTGAAATATTTGTGAATATGATTTGAAATACCAGTTATATGAAAATTGACATATTTCCAATACCTAGTGTGTATATTTTATAGAATATATTAAGAACTAATTTTTTAATTTATCTTTATTTTACATGTATGGGTGTTTTACCTACATGTATGTCTGCATATACAGTGCCCACAGAGGTCTGAAGATGATGCTGGAGCCCTCAGAGTTGGAGTTTCAGACAGTTGTTAGCCATCATGTGGATTCTAGGAACTGAACCCCAACAAGTGCTCTTAACAGCTGAACTATCTCTCCAGCCTCATCTATTAAGGATTATTGAAAGATTTTGAAGACTTAAAGAAAAAAATTTACTAAATTAATTCATGCAAATTTGAATTAAAAAGACAGAAATGCAAAATAAAATCAGATTTAATCTATATCTTGTTATCTTTTTATTTGGAGACAGGATCTCTTTATTATATAGTAGTTCTGGCTGACCTGGAACTTGCTATGCATAGTAGGCTGGCCTCAAATTCAGAGATCCTCCTGCCACTGTCTACTGAGTGCAGGCATCAAAGGCTTGCATCATAGTGCCTGGCATTTTCTTTTCTTAGGACAGGATTTTTATTGTAGACCAAGATGGCCTTGAAAATACTATGTAGCTGAGAATAACCTTAAAATTCTGACCTTCTTGCTTGTTACTATGCAAGTACTAGGATTACAAGTGTGAGCCACCATGCCTGTCTAAAGTTAGATTTTTTTAACATCTTAACCTTGAATTGTACTTTAAATTGTACTTCATCAGTAAAAATGTTAAATTTGTTTTTTTTTTTTTGTTTTGTTTTTTTTTTTTTTTTTTGAGATAGAGTCTCTCTACATAGCCTTGGCTGTCCTGGAACATTCTGTAGACCAGGCTTGGCCTCAAACTCAAAGAAATCCATCTACCTCTGTCTCCCAAATGCCAGGACTAAAGGTGTGCATCACCACACGCAGCCTAACTTATAGATTTACTTTGAAAGAGCAGAAAGTAATAGATACTTTTTATGGGAAAGAAAATCTTGATTAATATATCTCTTTAATAAAAATATGGTTATGGTGTTATTTTGTAGGCACTCCTGAGTTTATGGCTCCAGAGATGTATGAAGAACACTATGATGAATCTGTAGATGTTTATGCTTTTGGGATGTGTATGTTGGAAATGGCTACTTCAGAGTATCCATATTCCGAGTGCCAGAATGCAGCTCAAATATACCGTAAAGTAACCAGTGTAGGTATACTTTTATTCATTTTACTTCACAGATTGCCACATTTTGTGTTAAAATTGATAAAATTGACTTAGTAGAATTTAATTATAGGACAAAGGGTGTGACTTAGTGGAAGAAAAAAGAAAAAGTCCCCTCTCTTTATGGTTTCTTTTTATATAACAATGTTAGTTTAACCATTCACTTAGAAAAAGTTTATAACACAAGGTTTCTATTTATGTACTTGAACTCTATTAGGGTCATATAAAATGCTCTATATTGTTTTGGAGAAAATGTACAGGTATGGTACAATTTTAGATATTAGTTTTGGTCTTGGTTGTTTTTGTTTTTGTTTTTCCTGAGACAGCATCTCACTATGTGCCTCTGACTGTCCTGGAACTCACTACGTAGATCAGGCTGGCTGCAATGTCAAAGAGATGCTCTGCCTTTGCCTATGACGAGCTGGGATTAAAGGCATGCTCCCCTACACCCGGTTTGATTGGTCTTAATTTTTAAAGCTGGATAATAAAACTAAAAGAGTTTGAAGGACTTTAATACTTTAAGTGCCCAGTTAGGAAATATAATTCAGCATGTAGTTTGACAAATGAATCTCTTATATAAGTAATGTTTTGTGTTAGAAATTGCAAGAACTGCAATGACAATAAGTGTTTGCTGCCCTAGGAAAGCTTACATTTCTAGGAGGAGAATAATATCAATTAGGAAATAGCTAGCAAGACATGGCCGTGCACACCTGTAATCCCAGCACTTGGGAGTCTAAGGAAAGATGGTTGTAAGTTTGAGGCCAACCTGGGCTACAAAATGAAACCCTATTCAGAAAATAAGAAAAAAAATCAGTATAAAATAAAAGGATAGGAGTATAGTAAGGGATACAAAGTAGAATTGGAGTGTTTTCATTGTTTAGGGTAGACTACTTCGCATATAGCTGGGTGACTTGAGATAGATCATGAAAGAGATTGTTAGTGTTTCAGGAAGTTAATAATAAGAGTCATCTTTTAATCTTTTACAATTAAGTTATTTTAAATAGAGAGATGACATTGTATACATTTATGGTATATACAATGTATACAATATGATGTATACAATGTAAAATCAAGGTAGTTTACCTCTAACTTTATTTCCTTATTATTTTTTGTGGTGAAACATTTAAAACTTACCTTTTAAGTTACTTTATAATATGCTGTGTTTTATTGACTATAGTCATTGTGCTGTGGACTATATTTCAAAGCTTTTTCCTGCTGTTTAATTGCAACTTTTACCCATTAACCAACAATTCCTAATTTCTTCCCAGCCTCTGATAAGAGCTCAGAAAAAGAACTGCAATGCCTTATTAGTGTATGTCCTTTATCTAAAGAACCCCAAGTACAAAAGTATTTTGTGCTTGATTTATAAATTATAATTCTATAACTGTCTTCACTTACATATAGAGAAAGGCATGAATTGCCAAGAAAATCAGGAAGAGGTTAGAGGAGAGATTATACAGGACGTTTTCTATGTATAGAATAACATTATCAAGGTTTCACTGTGTCACTGAGGCTGACCTTGAACTCATGAATTTCTACCTTAGCCTCCCAAGTTCTGTGCATTATACGTCTTTTTTTGTGATTCTGGGGATGAAATTTAGGGCCTAATGAAAACTACACAAGTGCTCTACCACTGATCCATACCCTTAGCATAACTGCAATTTTGAATGACTATTATTTTTATATTAGCATACAAAAATGCCATATCACAATTTACATTTGACCTCTCTCAAAGCTTCTTGAGTTTTGGATCCAAATTAATTCCAAATCTTGCCAGATTTATCTAGTATATGAGTCTTTATTTTTTAAGGTAGTATGATAGGTGTAGAAGTAGATCTTAGGGTGTCTCAATTTACGGCAATTATTTTTCCAGATTAACTTGCAATTTTCTTTTTTTAAAATATTTATTTATTTATTATGTATACAATAATCTGTGTGTATGTCTGCAGGCCAGAAGAGGAGAAGAGGGCATCAGACCTCATTACAGATGGTTGTGAGCCACCATGTGGTTGCTGGGAATTGAACTCAGGACCTTTGGAAGAGCAGGCAATGCTCTTAACCACTGAGCCATCTCTCCAGCCCCCAACTTGCAATTTTCTATTTAATGATTACAACGATAATTGGATAGGTTTTTTTTTTTTTTTTTGGTTTTTCGAGACAGGGTTTCTCTGTGGTTTTGGAGCCTGTCCTGGAACTAGCTCTTAGACCAGGCTGGCCTTGAACTCACAGAGATCCACCTGCCTCTGCCTCCCAAGTGCTGGGATTAAAGGCGCGCGCGCCACCACCTCCCGGCTGGATAGTTTTCTGAAAGCCTAAAACTTATAAACAAAAGGTATAAAATGAGCAGATTAAGGTAGATGACATGCTTACAGGAAAGTTATAAATTGTCTGGACCTCATATTTGTATTTTTATTTTAAAAGTGTACATATAAAGTAATAGTTACTTTTTCACATTTTTATATGTATGTATTATTTTATATGTATTATTTTAATTTGTTCTTATTCATCCTCTCACTAATCTCTCCTATTTTCCCTGTCTGCATCTTGCATTCTATTCCCACTAATAATCCTCACTCTGCTTTTGTATCATATGTATTTCATTATTCCCCAGTCTCTCCCTCCCTTTTCATGGCTGTTTCTCCCCATTCTCACACACAGGCACACACAACACATACACATGCACACACACAGACATTATTCCACATATGGTAGAGAACATGTATTCTGGCTTATTTAACATGATTTCCAGTTTCATCCATTTTCCTGCGAGTGCTGTGATTTCATTATTCTTTATAGTTGAATAAAATTCTGTTGTATATATGTACCACACTTTTACTATATATTTATTTGTGAATAGACATCTAGACTGGTTAATTTCTTAACTGTTGTGGATTGTATATCAATAAACACAGTTGTATGAGTGTCTCTGTGGTATGTTGACTAAAGAGTCCTTTGGATATATACTCTGGAGTGTTATAGCTCTGTTATATGACAGTTTTATTTTCAATTTTTTGAGGAGCCTCCATACTGATTTCCATAATGGTTGCAATACATTACATTCCTACCAGCAACTGATAAGGTTTCTATTTTTCCACATACTTGCCAGCCTTAGTTTTCATTTCTTTTTTTTTGCTTAATTTTAATAAGTTCTTTGACAATATCATGCAGTTATTTTGATTGTATTCACCCTCTCTACTCCAGGTCTTCTCAGACCCAGTCTTCTTTACTTTACTTTCCCATTTAACTTAGTGTCCATTCATTCATGTGTCTCCCTCCCTGACAAGGCCTATTTGTGCTTTTCAGATTTTTTTTATTTTTATTTTTTTTAATTTTTTTTGGTTTTTCGAGACAGGGTTTCTTTTTAGCTTTGGAGCCTGCCTCTGCCTCCCGAGTGCTGGGATTAAAGGCATGCGCCACCACTGCCCAGCTATTCAGATATTCTTGAATGCCTCTACTGGAACATGGCCAACTTATCAGAGGCTTTACTTTTAGAGAAAATGATCCATTCTCTATGAGCTGCTAAGAATTTCCAGTAGCCCTTCATTTAGGGGTGAAACTTTCTGCTCAACTCCCTCTCCATGCTGAGATCTGGTCTGGCTTAGGCTTGTGCATACTGTTACAACTACTGTGAATTTATATGTGCAGCTGCCCTGCTGTGTGTAGAAGACACTGTTTCCTTGTAGTTGTCCACTGCCTCTGCCTCTTTCAATCTCCTCTTTCTCAGTGATCCTTGAGCCCCAGGAGAAGGAACTGTGATATAGAGGCTCCATTTAGGGCTAAATATTTCATAATCTTACTCTTTGCACCTGAGCCAGTTGTAGGTCATTTTGTTGATCATTATCTACCGCAAATAGGCTTCTCTGATTAGGGTCGAGAGATGCCTTAATCTATGGTTAATGTTTAGAAAATATTGTTTATTCTTTGTTTTTATTTGTTATATTTTTAAATTAGCTTACAAAGGGATAAGTTTGTTAATGGCATTTTCATGCATGCTTCATTTTGGTTGATTTCTCTCCCAGTCTTTCCCCATTTCCAACTTTCCCCACTGTAACTTTCTGCCTCCCCACATTTTCCCCCGTTTACTTTCTAGCTCATGTATTTATTAGCCATTTGTATTCTTTTCTATAAGTTTTATTTGTTCATTTACAATTTCATACACATATTCTTTGACATATATTAATGTACTTTGATCTTATTCATCCCATTATTCTTTCTTATGTCCTTATACCTCAGACTAAACCCCTTCCTGCATCCCCTCCCACTTTCCTGTCTTTTTATTCTGTACTTCCTGCACTTAATTTGGGTTCCTTGCCTGAGCATGTGTGGGGTGTTACTCACTTGAGCAAGAGCAACTTTCCAGCAACTCCACACTGAGGAATATGATTGCTGCATATGCATTATACAGCAGCCATTAACTGCCTATCGTTTCTCACAGAACCCTTTCTCTGTTCCTGATGAAATGTTGATAACCCCAATTTTCTCTTGTTGTTATTGTTTCATATTTTTAGGTTATAATATGATGGGTGTCACTGTAGCTTTTTCTTTATACATATGTACCAGTAAATTTATTCTCATTTTTCCCCTTATCTCTGCCCTCTCACATGTCTGTCTGCCCCCTTAAGTCTGTTTCCTTTGTTCCTCCTTTTCTGTTTTCTTATTATATGTGTTTATTTTGAGACAGGGTCTCATCTTACTGTGTAGCCCTGGCTATCCTGGAGTTCAAGCTAGCCTTGAACTCACAGAAATCTTCCTGCCTCTGTCTCCTGAGTGCTGAGATTAGAGGCATGCACCACAGCTTCCTATTGCACATGTTTGTTACTTTCTTCATTTCTCTTAAGACATCTTGCTCTTCTCTCATGATCCTCTTTCTAATTTTGTTACCTATAAACACAAACATGCAAATACATATACACATATGTAATTGTAAGTCTAGGTTCCACATATGAGCATGTAGTATTTGTCTTACCACGTCTGTTTTATTTTAACATGGTGGTTTCCAATTATAGCTGTTCTCTTGAAAATGTCATTATCATTTTATTTTAGGACTGCATGAAATTCCATTATGTATATGTACCACATTTTCTTTTTTCCATTCATCTGTTGGTAGACATATAGACTGACATTTGGGTACTGTGGTTATTGTGAATAGTGTGGCAGTAAACACAGATGTACAGTTCCATCTGTGATATGTTGACGTAGAGTCTTGGTGCTGGGAACCAAACTTGAGTCTTCTGAAATAGCAGCAAATGCTCTTATCTGCTGATCTATTTCTCCAACTCCTACTTTTATTATATTTTTATTATTCATGTATGTCTGTGTGTGGTTATAGGCACATAAGTGCAGGTTCTTGTGAAGGTCAGAAGAAGGAATTGTGTCCTATGGATCTAGAGTTATAGATAATTGTGAGCCATACCTAATGTCAGTGCTGGGAACTGAACTTGACTCCTCTGCAAGAATATACACTTTAAGCCAGGTGGTGGTGGCACATACCTTTAATCCCAGTACTGGGGAGGCAGAGGCAGGTGAATCTCTAAATGAAGCCAGCCTGGTCTACAGAATGAATTCTAGGACAGCCAGGACTATACAGAGAAACCCTGCCGCGCGCGCGCGCGTGTGTGTGTGTGTGTGTGTGTGTGTGTGTGTGTGTGTGTGTATAGTATAAACTCTTAACTTCTGACTTATCTCTCAAACCCCTTTCATGTTTTCTTGATAGCCATTCTGGCTAAGGTAAGATGGAATCTTGAAGCAGTTTTAATTTGTATTTCCCTGAGTAGTGAAAATGCTGAACATTTTTATTTCAAATATTTATTGGCCACTTTAATTTTTTGAGACTTATTTTATATGTCTGAGTGTTTTGCCTGTCTGTACTGTATGTGTACTATATACATACCAGGTATCTGCAGAGGTGAGATGAGAGCATCAGTTCCCCTGGAACTGGTGTTACAGATGACTGTAAGCCACATGTGGATGATGGGAATTGAACCCATGCCCTCTGGAGAGCAACAAGTGCTCTTAACAACAGAGCCATCTCTTCAGCCACTGTCTTTTCATTTTTGGGAATTCTCTATGCAGATCATTAGTTAATCTATTGATTTAAAGGGTTTTTTTTGATAGTATTTACCTTTTGCTGTTCATATATTTTATTTATTGTTTCTAATGTCTAGCTGTCAAGACTGGAGAGCTGGAAGACAGGTCTTCATACTTTCCAAATTTTTTTAAATAGTAATCATCCTTTTGGATGGATGAGGCAATGGATTTCAAGTACTCCATTGGAGGCTCCGAGGTGTTTAGCTCTATAGAAGAGAATAGCAGATAGATGGATGCAGAGGTTGATCGCCTTCTGACCTAATGCTCAGGGCTATCAGACTCTAGTGTTACTCTCAGTTGATAGGTCTGCCACTTCAACTAAGAGCAGGGTTATTTTCCCCTTTTGCATTTCTCTTAACCAAGCCTTCTGCCATCTGCAGAAGTGACTTATTGGTTCTTTGGCTTGTTGATCATGACCTTCCAGTTTTCCAGGACTGTCTCTTGCCCTGTGGCTGTGGTAAGTTAAATTGAGGCTTTTTGTCTTCAGGTTTTCTTCATTTTGGAGTCCTCAGTTCAGTTCAGTTTCTAGTAACTATTTTCCACTGCAAGATAATGCCAACCCTTGCTCTCCAAGACAGTGACAGGAATGGGAGTCTTTACCATTTTCCCATCCACTGTCTTCCTTCAACTGGTTTTGAGACTTGGCAATACTATGCACGTACTCTAAGAGTAGGACTGCCAGTGTCTTTTCTCCAGGGCCTCCTGGCTCACCTTTTGGAGGCGTTCTTAGCTTCTTCTCCCTTCCAAAGAGCAGCACTCCTGGAATTGTGATGAATTTGGCTTCTTTTCTGTGTGTTTCCCAACTTTCCCTCTCCACCTTTCAAGTATTTTATTATCACCTTTGTGAATTTCTGAAGTTCCTTCTTGCCTTTTCTCTTTAGAATAGTTATTTTGACTTTTCTCATTTATATTTCCAGACCTTATCTTATACATTTTTATCTGTGTACACACAAACATACTGTTTGCTTATGGCTTCTATCCATTTTAGAAGACTTTGAACTATATTAAATTCAGAATACTAGAAATAGAGAAGCCTTTATTTTTAAGTTATGTTGTCTGTGATTGAGTCTCAGTAAGTAGCTAAAGGTGACCTTGAACTTCTGCCTTCACCTTTCTAGTAGTGTAATTGCAGACTTAGGCCATTATGTTGGGCTTCAAAGGTTTATAAAACCATATTTATTTTGCCTGGCCTGGTAGTACATGTCTGTGGTCCCAGGTATTTGGCAATTTGGAACAGGATCTTGAAACTTGGCATATAAACGAAATCCTGCCTCAAAGGAAACAAGCAGAAAAACCGCTTTTTCTCTGAATCAAAAATAGTTACTATATTTGCTTTTTTAAAATCTATTTTTCCGTTTGAATTTCTAAAATGTATTTCATTTATTTGTGTGTGTGTGGGTGTGTGCGCGCGCGCGCGCGTGCATGCATGCACATACAAGTTCTCACAGTCATATTCTTAAGTATGGAGGCTAAAAGACAACTCTTGGGAGTCAGTTCTCTCCTGACATGCTGTGGGATGGAGGCTGGAACTCAGATCAAGCCTTTTCACTGCTTCCCTCCCACTTACATTTGATTTGGTGCGTGTGTGTGTGCGTGCATATGTGCCACATGGTGACTGTGGGGTGACTGTGGGGACCAACATATTCTCTTTCTTCTACCTTTATGTGGTTTCCAGAGGTTGAAGTCAGATCATCAGGTGTGGAAAGCACTTCTAACCTGCTGAGGCATCTTGCAAGTCCATTATTAAATTTTATTTTTTAAAATTATGTATGTGTTTGTGAATGTGTACTTGCATACATGTTTATGAATACCCTTCTTGGAGGCCAGAAGTTGATATCAGATCCCCTGGAGCTGGAGTTATCCCTTCAGAATGGGTTCTGGGATTGGAACTTGGGTCCTCTAAAAGAGCAGAAATTGCTCTTAACCACTGAGCTATCTCTCTAATCCCTATTATGTTTTCCTAATTAGGATTATAATGTATATATATATGTATGTGTATGTATATGGGGGGCATTCTGCTTTTTCCCCTATTATTTCATATTAAATTGTGAGCATTCCCAATACTATTAAGTACAGTAGTATTTATAGTCTATATGTTTGCATATGTAATATTAAGTTTACCTCAGTTATTAGTGTAGATTATTCACAATTTTCAGTTATTTATGGAGCTGTGATAAAAGCCTTTTTAAAATGTTAAACTGGGCTGGTGAGATGATGCAGCTGGTAAAAGGCACTTTCTATTAAGCCTGACAACCTGAGTTCAATTCCTGGAAAATACATGGTGGAAGGCGATTGTCTACTCCTGCAAGTTATTCTCTGACTTTCACACGCATACTAGATCCTGCCTCCCTCACCAGTAAATAAAATGTAATTTTAACAAGTTTTTTAATGCTTCAGGCCGTTAATACAGTTCCTCATGTTGTGGTGACTCTCAGTCATTTTGTTGCTACTTCATAACTGTAATTTTGCTACTGTTATGAATTGTAGTGTAAATATCTAATATGCAACCCCTGGGAAAGGGTATTCAAAGCCTCCAGGGGTCATGATACACAGGTTGAGAAACTGACAAAGAGTTCTAAAATAGTCAGTGCTATGTAGTGAAATTCTGTGTAAAACTTTTGAAATTAAATATATGTGTGTAATAATCTCATTGAATAATTGGATTTTTATGAAAAAATAAAGTTTAATATTTGCCATATTGATTTGTGCTTTTAATTGTTTAATTTGTAACAAGAAACCATTTTCTTCTCCCAGGGCATAAAACCAGCCAGCTTCAATAAAGTCACAGACCCTGAAGTAAAAGAAATAATTGAAGGATGTATTCGACAAAACAAATCTGAAAGGTGGGTGGAATTATAACAAAATTACATAAATGATGGATGCATTTTTATCATGGATACTGTAATGTATGTATATCATAGCATGCCATTTGACACGTTAGATGTTGCTATTATGTGCTGAATTTGAACTGACATTTGTATTTGTTATGATACCTTAATAGTGAGATGATGTAAAACACCTAACAAATTGCTTGTTTAAGTAGTTGAGAGTAAGCAGATAGATTACATTTGGTTTTATATCATTGTGCCAATAATAATAGTAAGAGTAATGGATATTTTTGTTCAAGAAGTATTCTATATTTATTTGTATCAAAATTTGTATTTTTGTATAGAGAATTGCTTTAATATTGGCTTTCACTTCCTTTTATTTTGAGCTTTGTATAAAATTACTGGCTTAAATTGCTAGCCTCTTTTGAAAATTTAAAAAAATTATTTTATGTGTTTGTGTGTCTGGGTGTACATACATATGCACCATGTGCATGCAAGTGTGTGCAAAGGCCAGAAAGGTGTAGATTCCTTGCATCTGGAGTCATATGCAATTGTGAGCTACTAGCCAGGCGGTGGTGGCGCACGCCTTTAATCCCAGCACTCAGGTGGCAGAGGCAGGCAGATCTCTGTGAGTTCGAGACCAGCCTGGTCTACAAGAGCTAGTTCCAGGACAGGAACCAAAAAGTTACTGAGAAACCCTGTCTTGAAAAACCAAAAAAAAAAAAAAAAAAAAAAAGCAATTGTGAGCTACTCAATGCGGGTACTGGAAACCTGGGTCCTCTAGAAGAGCAGCAAATGTCCATTACTGCTGAACCATTTCTCTTTTTCTCTTCTCTTCTTTTCTTTTTCCGGTTTTTTGAGACAGGGTTTTCCTGTGTAGCTTTGGAGCCTGTCCTGGAACTCACTTTGTAGACCAGGCTGGCCTCACAAGAGTTCTAAATACGTCACTACAACCTGCTCAGTCTATATAATGTTGTTACTTGTATGTTCATGTTTTTAGCACCGACCATTGAATAACCAATTGGGGTGATGGGCCCTGGGTCTATTTCTCTTACTCAGCATTTCTTAGTTGCCTATAGTTCTTTGTCTAGAGTTGAAGCCTTATGAACTTTTCCCCTTCCACGTTAATATGTCAAATGGTGCTATTCTTTTTCAGGTTATGTTTAACTAGCCATGTTACTGAGAGACTTCATGGGTGTAGCTTTTCTCTCATTTCTAGGAGACACAATCTCAGCACATTTTCTGTTCCTCTTGTTCTTAAAATCTTTCCTCCCCCCCCCTTTTTTTTGTAATTTTTTTTTTTTTTGGTTTATCGAGACCGGGTTTCTCTGTAGCTTTGGAGCCTGTTCTGGAACTAGCTCTTGTAGACCAGGCTGGCCTCGAACTCACAGAGATCCACCTGTCTCTGCCTCCCAAGTGCTAGGATTATATATGTATGTGTGTATACATATGGTGTATGGATGGATGGATGGATGGATGGATGGATGGATGGATGGATGGATGGATAGATGGAAAGGGGGAAAAGGACATGGCACACCTGTTTAATCCTAGCACTTGAGATGCCGAGGCAGGCTGATTTCTGTGTGTTCAAGGCCAGCCTGATATAGATAGCAAGTTCCAAGTCAGGCAAAACCACTCAGCAAGACACTGTCTCAAATTAAAAACAAATTGAACCACTTTGGCTTCACCTATGACGTTTTTCTAAAAAATGAAGTACATATTAATTAAATAATTATCCTTTGTTTTTTTTAAAAAAAAAGTTTTTTGAAACAGAGTCTCATTCTGTATCCCAAGCTGCCCTGGAACTCACTATATAACACAGGCTGGCAAATGCTGTGGTATAGGAGGTGGGCCATTACATACAACTTCTAAGTAGATAATTATTGAAGAAGTCTTATTTGTAAGAATTTGAATGTCCAATTCACCTTATAGTTAATATATTTAGGGAATGTTCTTTCCTTTGTTGAAAATCTGTTGCTTTAGTCTGAGTGGCTTAGTCCAGTGGCTTTAGGCAAGCTAATAAATCTATGTAACAATTCTCTCTTGGGCATACTTTTATGTGAGTTAGACTTTGATATCAATTAAGATGTTATTGGTTATTAATTCTTAAATAAGATCATTCTATGTGCATGCAAGTTGACATTTCTGGTGTCCCTAGTAATAAATTGGTTATAAGATGTAGTTTTTATAGCAAAGCAAATAATAAATGGTTTAATAGAAAATGTAAATAAAGTAAGAGTCTCACTTGGATGCAATTAACTTTTACTATTTAAAGGACCATATTTTGCTTATGACTGAAAGAATTGATAATGATATGTATATTTTGTTTATTAGGCTATCTATCAAGGACCTACTAAATCATGCGTTCTTTGCTGAGGATACTGGACTGAGGGTGGAGTTAGCAGAGGAAGATGATTGTTCAAATTCATCCCTGGCCCTAAGACTCTGGGTTGAAGATCCTAAAAAATTAAAAGGCAAACATAAAGACAATGAAGCTATTGAATTCAGTTTCAATTTAGAAACAGACACACCAGAGGAAGTAGCATATGAAATGGTAAGTAAATCTTAGTGATGCTTTCCCTACGCATAACAGTATCCTGATTGATTAATGCTTGTTTTCTACTTCTCACTGTTTTGTTTTCTTTCTTCTGTGGACTTTTTCTCTTGCAATATATTTCTATAGGTCTGCCTGCAGAGGCATGCATTTTTACCTTCCCAGTGCAGGGATTATAGGTGTGTCCTTTTGTTGTTGTTATTTTTTGGTTATTCAAGATATGTTTTCACTGTTTTGCCCTGGCCATTCTAGAAGTCACTCTGTAGACCAGGCTGGCCTTCAAATCACAGAGATCTGCCTGCCTCTACCTCTGAGATTAAAGGTGTGTGCAGCAATACTTTTTTGTTGGGACTTCCAGGCTGCAAATAATGACCCAGAGATTTATGATTAATTATGAAGGTTTGGCCTTTAGCTTAGACTTGTCTCAACTAGCTCATAGCTTATATTAACCCATATTTTTAAATCTATGTTCTGCCACGTGGCATTTTACCTCTCTTCCATCTTGCACCTTCAGTCTCGTCTCTGTGTCTGGCTGGTGACCCTACTTTTCTTCTTCCCAGAGTCCTCTCTCTGTAGTTGTCCCACCTATACTCCTAACTAACTGTGGCCGGTCAGCTTTGTGTTACAGCAGTCATAGCAGTCCACCTTCACACAGTGTACATATATCCCACAAAAGGTGTGTGCCACCACCACCCTGCTCGGGTGTGTGCTTTGATGCTTTGCACAGGTGCTGGGGTTTCAAACTCTGGTGTCCATGCTTGCATGTCAAATACTTTATTGACCAAGGCATCTCCTAGACTCCTGTTTTCCTTATTTATATGGTCATGTCATTGTGAAGTAATTTTACTAACAGGACATGTTTGATTTGCATGTTCACTATAAAGAACTGTACAATGCTCTCTTTGTTAAAATAAAATTGGAGGCTGAGGAAATAGTTCAGTTGATAAAGTACTTGTTGTACAAACTGTGTAAGGTGGTGTGGTATAGCTCTGTAACCCTAACTCTGGGTGGATGAAGGCAGTGGGATCCCTGGAGTCTACTCAGAGAACCTGTTGCACAAAATGAGGGGAAGAGCAATAGAGGAAGAATTCTGTTGACCTCTGACCTTCAGGTCACATGTACATCTACAAAATAAATCTTTAGCCCTTAGGAGGACCAGGTGATTTCCTATTTCTTATTTCTAGAACTTATTTAGATGTTGGGCCTCTTGGGTTGGTTCTCAAGTATTCTTATTTTTTGGATCCACCCATTTGCCTTTGTTTTGTGGAGACTGGGTCTCATGTAACCCAAGCTCCCCTAGAATTCATTGTGTAGCTGATGATGACCTTGAAGTCCAGATCCTCCTTCCTTTGCCTCCCAGAGCCAGAATTTCAGGTGTGTGTTACCATGTCTGTCCTTGTTCTTATTGATATGTTACTTTAAAATTCATTTACTATGAGTTGGGTTTATTGAGAGTTTTAGGGTGGACAAAATTGGATATGTGTACTTCATCTGTTTTTTTTTTTTTTGTCATTGTTTTAGTTTGATTTTAGACAGGATCGTGCTATGTAGCTTCACAATATAGCCCAGGTAGACCCTCAAACCTGTGACAAGCCTCCTGCCTCCTCTTCCAAATGCTGGGATTACCATTCCTATTAACATTGTAATAATCTTTCAACTACCATGAATTTTCAAATCTGCAGACTTTAAGACAAGGTTTAAATAGTAAATTGTAGGCTGGTCTTGGTAGTATATGCTTATAATCCTAGCACTTAGAGGGTAGAAGCAAGAGATCAAGGAGTTCAAGGTTACTCTGTGCTACTGTATATGGGCCAACCTGTGTTACATGAGACCCTGTCTCAAAAACAAAAGTAAAAATGCAAGTAAACAATCAGATTGTAGGACTAAACATGGTATGCCTTGGTATTTCAAATCATGTTCTCTGCTGCTTAGAGACAAACTAGAACCCTTTTCTGTTCTCATACTACTCTAATGCCTTGTAAAATGTAGCAAGTTCTCTGCCGTGAGCATACCTTCCTCTGCTTAGAATGTTAATCTCTGCTCCAAACTTCATCTGTATTTTTTCAGTAGACTATATTCCTATTTTGGGAATGTTCAAAATTATGGCACTTTTCTGTTTCCTTCAGAGTGATATTTTTAAGTTTTTATTCCAGCAGTTCATTTCTGCTTCATTTTATGTTAAGCTTATTTCTATCTTATATCATCAGGTAATGTGCTCATATAGGCAAAAGACTGTTTTAGTTAGCTATTTTTCTCTGTTGTCAATACTCGGCATGCTTTTACTGGATTTTGATATAGGCTTTGTAACTGGTATCATAAGATCCAGTTACAAAGATCCTTTGCCTCAGTCCCTGAAGTGTTATTCTTTTTTTGTGATAATAAATTTTTTTTATTTTTATTGAGCTCTACATTTTTCTCTGCTGCCCTCCCTGCCTCTCCCTTTCCCCTTTCAATCCTCCCCCAAGGTCCCTACTCTCCCAATTTACTCAGGAGATCTTGTCTTTTTCTACTTTCTACTTCCCATGTAGATTATATCTATGTGAGTCTCTCTTAGTGTCCTCGTTGTTGTCTAAGTTCTCTAGGATTGTGATTTGTGGGCTTGTTTTCTTTGCTTTATGTTTAAAACCCACCTATGAGTGAGTACATGTGATAATTGTCTTTCTGTGTCTTGGTTACCTCACTCAAAATCATGTTTTCTAGCTCCATTCATTTTTCTGCAAAATTCAAGCTGTCATTATTTTTTTCTTCTGTGTAGTACTCCATTGTGTAAATGTACCACATTTTCCTTATCCATTCTTTGGTTGAGGGGCATTTAGGTTGTTTCTAGGCTCTGGCTATGACAAACTGGTGTAAGAGGTCCTTCTATGTGTTGCTTTCATTGGTTGAATAAAGAAACTTCCTTGGCCTTTGATAGGGCAGAACTTGTTGACCATATCCTTTGCTTTACAGAAGCCTTTCAGTTTCAGGAGGTCCCATTTATTGATTGTTTCTCTCAGTGTCTGTGCTGCTGGGGTTATATTTAGGAAGTGGTCTCCTGTGCCAATGTGTCCAAGTGTACTTCCCACTTTCTCTTCTTAAGTTTCAGTGGCTTTATGTTGAGGTCTTTGATCCATTTGGACTTGAATTTTGTGCATGTTGATAGATATGGGTCTGTTATCATTCTTCTACATGTTGATATCCAGTTATGCCAGCAACACTTGTTAAATATGCTTTCTCTTTTCCATTTGATATTTTTTGCTTCTTTGTCAAAAATCAGGTGTTCAAAGGTGTGTGGATTGATATCCGGGTCTTCTATTCAGTTCCATTGGCCCTCCTGTCTATTCTTATGCCAATACCAGGCTGTTTTCAGTACTGTAGGTCTGTAGTAGAGTTTGAAGTCAGGGATTGTGATGCCCCTAGAAGTTCTTTTATTGGTACAGGATTGTTTTGGCTATCCTGGGTTTTTTGCTTTTCCATATGAAGTTGGGTACCATTTGAAGTGTTATTCTTGTATCAATTAAAGTCTCTCACATGTACACATGTCCAATTTAGAAAAATATAGAGACAAGCTATTAATTATTAGTTAATAGAACTTTGAGTTTGTTATACAAAATATTGATTTAAGTAAAGAAACAGTTTGTTATGTTTTTTTGTAGGTCAAGTCTGGATTCTTCCATGAAAGTGATTCTAAAGCTGTTGCTAAGTCCATTAGGGACCGCGTGACACTGATAAAAAAGATAAGGGAAAAGAAGCCTGCTGGATGCTTGGAGGAATGCAGGGATTCCCAGTGCAAGTATATGGGCAATGTATTTCCTCAGCAGCAGACCACAACTTTACCACCTGCTCCTGGTACACAGACTGTGGCTGAATGTGAAGAAACAGAAGTTGATCAGCATGTTCGACAGCAAAATCTACAGGGAAAACCACAGCAGCAGTGCTCCTCTGTAAGAGGTAAAACAACTGTAAAGTCCAGGAATTGACTAATTATACTTCTTTGTTTTTAAAGTGCTTTTTTGTATTTTTCAGAGTATTCTGTTATCTGTAATTTTATTAATCATGCTTTTAAAACCTTTGAAATAGACAAGGTGATTTCCATATCTCAAAATCAAAAAAAGCTGGGCTAGGAATTTGTTTCAGTTGGGAGAGCTGCCTAGCATGCAGGAAGCCTGGGCGTGGTGGTATTTACCAGTTATCCTAGCATTTAGAAAGTAGAGGCAGGTCATCCTCATCTAGTTTAAGGCCAGACTGGAATACATAATAGTCATCCCAAAATAAATCTAAGAAAGTCTTTAAGTGTCTTTCCAATGTTCTAGTCTCAGAAAGATTACAGTACAGCAGCTTTTCCAGCTCAGAGAAATGATATTAATAACAACATTTGTAATAATCTAGCATAAGCCCATGATATCTCTCTCTCTCTCTCTCTCTCTCTCTCTCTCTCTCTCTCTCTCTCTCTCTCTCTCTTTGGTTTTTGTTTTTCAAGACAGGGTTTCTCAGTAGCTATGGAGCCTGCCCTTGAACACACTCTGTAGACTAGTCTGTTCTTGAACTCAGGGATCTGCCTGCCTCTGCCTCCTCAGTGCTGGAATTAAAGGTGTGCACCACCACTGTCCAGCTCTACAGTTTATTTCTTAAAAAGAAGTTTTCTAGGTGTTAAGTGCCTTAGTATTTCAGACTGGAATGAAAACATAAGTCCTCTAGTTTTTTTGCAACAATATATCATCTTTTTTAAAAACACACAGTAGGGGATGTGGTGGCTTAGGCCTTTAACCTCAGTGCTCTGGAGGCAGAGGTAGGCAAATATCAGTGAGTTAGAGGCCAGCCTGGTCTACAAAGTGAGCCCCAGACCAACTAGAGCTATATAGTTAGAACATGTTAAAACAGTAACAGCAACAACCAATTAATTAATTAAATAAAATATAAATGAATAAAAATAGAAAAGGAAAAACAGTATTTGTATAGTTACAGCCAATTTTTCTACAAAGGAAGTACTTTTTTCCTACACATTTTCCTACCCATTTCTAGGAGATTTGCAACATGACACATATGTTACTGAAATCATAACAGCAAGTATACAAAAAAAAAGAATACATATAAAATGACTGGTAAATGGGGTTAATTGATTTTTCTTCTTGTAATCTTTTGTCATCTTCTTTGTTTGTTTTGGACATGATCTAAGAAAAAGAAACTATCGCTTATACCACATTGTCAACATTTTGTTAACCCATAGAGTTTTACTTGTTGACTATTTGTTTGATTTTGTGATAGGCCTTGCTATGAAGGCCACATTGTCTTTGAACTTAACTTGAAACACAGGCTGGCCTCATGAACTTTTTGCTGATATTAGTTGTTTTAAAAAGTACTAATTATTAAGTTTGTATTTTATTTGAAACGATGATTGTCATAGTAGAAAATATATTAAAGGAACCTTATATCATTTGAACATTGTGTGTCATGTCTTCCCTTCTACCTTTTGCTTATTTTTTTTTTTTGTTATAGGTGATACTTCATCTGAGGCAGCAGCTGGACCAGTTCTACATTCAGATACTTCAAGTCTTCCCACTGTAGCCTATTCTTCAAACCAGACAACTAACTCTCAGGTAGTGTCTAGTATCCTACAGACTGACATAAGTTTTCAAGGGCAAATCTATTCTTTTCACCAACTTAGCAGGACATTACCAGCAAATTTCAGGGATGAGGGAATTACTACTCTATTTTACATATTGGAGAGTTATCTATTTTCTTCTATTTACCAGTTGCAAGAGCAGCCAAAGCTGACTGAGTCCCCAGTTTTGCCTGTGGTACAAGGTCAGTCTTCTGTTATGCCCATATATGCCGTTGGACATGCAGTTGTTTCACAGTCTCAAATTTCTCCATTAACTATCCAGAAGATCTCACAGATAAAGGTAAGATGCATTTTTTGTTTGTTTTTTGAGACAGGATTTTAATGCACAGCCCTGTCTGTCCTGGAACTCATATTGTAGACCAGGCTGGCCTCAACCTCAAAGATTCACCTGCCTATACCTCCTGAGTGATGGGATTAAAAGTGTATGCCACTACCACCTAGCAAGTGAGACACATTTTAAAAAATATTTTTAATTTAAGATGTAAAATTTTAATTTAGCTTCATTTGTGTTTTCCTTACATGTAAATATGTGTATCATGTGTATTCCTGGTACTTGTAGGCCAGAAGAAGGTGTCAGATCTGAAACAATAAGTAAAGACAGTGTGAGCTATTATGTGAGTCGTAGGACTTCAATCCATTCCTCTTTAAGAACATCTAGTATTTCTAACTGCTGAGCCAACTCTCCAGCCTCCATATCTCATAAAGTAGAGGCTATTTATTAATTTAAACATGTTTCATATTGTCTATATTTTCGGGTAGGTATGAATTCTTTTTTATTAGTTAACCACAGATTAGGTAAAGGCCACTGAAACTTATGCATACTTCCTCATACCCAATACATTTCTCTTGAGGATGTACTTAATATTGTGCAAGGAAAATCTAGAAATATTAGATCTATAACTGGAAAAGAATAGAGAACTTAGTGAAACCAGAGGTTTACTTGGAACTCTTGTCTCTCCATTTATCTATCTATCTATCTATCTATCTATCTATCTATCTATCTATCTATCTATTCATTTACCTATTTATCTATTTATCTATCTATTTATTTATTCATTTATTTATTTAATTTTTTGGTTAGCCAGTCTTTTCTTTCTATTAAAATTTTCTCAATTGGTTAGATGATGGAGAGATACCCATTTCAGTTAATCAAAGCTTTAACTGTGTTTCCTAATTTTTAACATATTCATCTATATTCTTGGTTTGTTGTTAGATTTTTGTTCTCTAGAAGAAATTTTGAGTTTCAAACATACAAAGCCAGTATTACTCATTTCTGACAAAAAGTAAACAAGCTTTGCATGAATTCATGTATACACATAATAATCTGGTTGCCCGTGTCATGAACTCTGGATATAGTTGGACTTTTTTCTGTCACCATCCATTTTTATTTGCTCCATTCTCCACTCCATACATGTACTTTCCCTCTCTGGGAGTAAGATGCTCTAAGCCCATGGGTGTTCTCTTTTTTTGTTTTTATTATTATTATTATTAATTATTTATTAAAGATTTCTGCCTCCTCCCCGCCACCGCCTCCCATTTCCCTCCCCATGTCAAGTCCCCCTCCTTCATCAGCCCAAAGAGCAATCAGGGTTCCCGGCCCTGTGGGAAGTCCAAGGACCACCCACCTCCATCCAGGTCTAGTAAGGTGAGCATCCAAACTGCCTAGGCTCCCCATGGGTATTCTCCAGTTAGCATGTTGAACATTGGTTTCTTTTGAGAAATTGGCCCATAGGTAATTCCAGTTTATCAATAGACTTTGTTGTTATTTTTCGAGACAGGGTTTCTCTATGTAGCCATGGCTGTCCTGGAACTCATTGTGTAGACTAGGTTGGCTTTGAACTCACAGAGGTCCACCTGCCTCTGACTCCCAAGTGCTGGGATTAAAGATGTGCGCCACCACTGCCTGGATCTATCAATAGACTTTTAATGACTCGTACCTTCTAAAAAGGTAAGAGTAAGGTAAGATGTTATTCTTACCTTCAAAGAGCTCATAATCTTGTAGGAGAAAGTAGTTGTACACTTGAAAAATGACAGAAGCATTTAAAAATATGCTGTGCATAAATTTGGTCTGTAGATATAGTTAGTATTTTTAAGTGATAGAGTGCATATCTGCAATTGAGCTCACGTTGTGGTTTAATTAATTTCTAAGCATATCCTGTATGCTTAACACATGCTTAACTTTAAGTGCATAAGTATAGGTATGTGTTTAAAATGTATTTAAATTTTTTGGAAGTTTTATTCACATATTTACAATTGATACTCAAGTGGAATCTGGAATCTCAGCACTTGGGAGGCCAGGGAGGGAGTATCAAAACTTCAGCTCAAACCTGGGCCGCATAGCAACTCTAGGCCAGTCTGAACTACATAGCAAGACCCTATTTATAAAATTATAAAGAAGAAAGCAAAAGTCACCTGTTAGCCTGCTATCCTTCCAGCAAGAGATCACTGTTTATGTCTGAGACCGTAGTCTCCAGATTTGTCGTTTTAGTGTATACACATATAAATTATGGACAGATGGCTTAGTGTGAAGAACAGGTCTTGCTCTTCTAGAAGAGACCTGAGTTTCGTTCCTAGCACCCATGTCAGGTAGATCACAACTGCCTGTAACTCCAGCTCCATGGGATTAAATGTCCTCTTCTGGCCTCCATGGTTATAAATACACACTGATACACACACATATATAAAATATGTATTAGAAAAATTATTAAGACACAAATGCATATTGTGTGCTTACTATTTTTGTAGCTTATCTATATCATTTACTACATAAAACACACCTAAGCAACTGTCTTAGTCACTGTTCTATTGCTGTAAAGAGACATCATCACCAAGGCAACTTATAAGAGAAAGCATTTAACTTAATTATAGTTTCAGAGTGTTTTTTCATTATTGTCATTGTGGAACATGTGGCAGCAGGCAGGCATGGTGCTGTAGCAGTAGCTGAGAATTTCACATTATGGTCTGCAGGCAGGAGGCAGAAAGAGAGAGAGCAAGACTGGACCCAGTATTGGCTTATGATACCCCAGAACCCACCCCAAGTGTCACACCTTCCTCAACAAGACCACACCTCCTAATCCTTCTTAAACAGTTTACCAACAGGGCACCAAACATTCAGATATATGATCCAGTGGGAGCTATTCTCATTTAAACCACCACAGTAACCATTTGGGTCTTTTTATGAGCAAATGGTCAAACTCTAGGAATGATTACAACTAGCCTGTATTTATTTCTGTCAACTTTCTCCTTTATTTTTGAGAGAATACTTATGTTTATTTTATTTATTATTTTGAAAACCTTTGTATTTTGTCTTGGAGCATGTGCCCAGTTTGTGAAAGTATCAGAATCAGTTATTCTGTCTTTACCAGGGTTTGAATGACTTATGTGATAAGTGCAATAAATGAAAAGTCATGAACAATATATTGCTAGAATTGTTCCTGGCTCTTCCATTTATTCAACTAGCATTTGCTCATGGATTAAGGAGTTTTATACAATTAGTACCTAATGCTTGTACCTAATGTTTGTAGATTACTTGGTGAAAATTTAGCATATAGAATTATTTCTTTTCTTTTTGTTTTTTCTAGACAAGGTTTCTCTGTAGCTTTGGTGCCTGTCCTGGAACTAGCTCTTGTAGACCAGGCTGGCCTCGAACTCACAGAGATCCGCCTGCCTCTGCATCCCAAGTGCTGGGATTAAAGGCGTGTGCCACCACCACCCAGCTATAGCATTATTTCTTGAGTCTGTTTTGAACAGTCCCATTAAAATGGACAGATTATCTGAATGTACAATTTGAATTCATATTTCCTTACACTAACACCAAGAACTACAGCTGGTCCTTAGAGCCAGTGGTCAAACTTCAGCCCAACCCATGACTTTAGACTTGTTAGTTATTGGAGTTTCACAACCAATCCATTCTACAGTTAAATTCTCAAATATTGCCTTTGTAATTAAAAAGTAAGGACACATTTTGAAACCATGTAATTACATTGTTATTCATTAACTTTTCCTAGTTTTAGCATCCCTTTATGATTTTTCCACATCTCTTCTTATATTCATTAATTCCTTTTTTACAGTTAGAAATGCCTTTTCCTTATTTGTTTGTTCATATCAGTGTGAACTCATTCATTGAATAGATTATACTGTTATTACTTATTTTGACACCAAATTGTTCAAGATTTAGGCATTGTTGGTCCTTTGATTTACTTTTATGATATTACCCTATCACTCTGAGTTTGTTTTCTTTTTGTAAAGTTCATCTTTTAAGTCCAGTGTTGGAAATAGCAATTTCTCCAAAGTATCTCTATCTTTCCTAACTTATAATAGAAACTAAGATATGACCAATTTTACTGGTTTGTTTCTGGAAGCCACCTTTAAAGAGCCTTATATGTACATTTTATGTGTACATATGACTGTATATAGCATAGATGTATATATTGTATATATATTTGTATACAAAGTTTGTCCAAGTACGTTATAAATGAACAGGACTAAGGTGGGATTGAAAATAGGGTGGGGAAGTAGAGGAATGTAAGTGGAGTCACAGTGTATGGAAGAACTCAACTCATGGAAAGGAGCTCCAGTCTAGTGTGGCTTAAAGAAGAGATGCGAAACTAGAGAGCCTGGAAAGAACCCGTTCACTGAGGAATTTATTTACCCTCTGAAGAAACTCAGTCTTTTAGAACATGAAGAGTCATCATAGGAAGTTCAATTGGGAAAGGAATAATTATTTTTGTTAGATTTACATTTTAATATTTTCTGTTGCTAGTGGCAATTCATAAAGAATAGATCCCATAAATGTTTAGAATTGGTTTTTATTGGGATTGATATTTGCCTTTATTTTTTTTTCTATTCAAAAATTTACACTTCCTCCCCTTCTCCCATTCCCCTCCCACTCCCCCACTCACCTTCCTCCCTCCCCCTCCCTTCTTGAGAGAGGGCAGGGAACCCTGTCCTGCGAGAAGTCCAAGGACCCCCCCCCCATCCAGGTCTAGGAAGCTGTGCATTCAAATAGACTAGGATCCCAAAAAGCCAGTACATGCAGTAAAAACAAGTCCCAGTGCCTTTATCAATGGCTTCTCAGTCAGCCCCCAGTGTCAGACATAATCAGATTCCGATTTGATCACAGGCTTGTTCAGTCCTGGTCCAGCTGGATTTGGTGAGCTCCCCTTAGAACAGGCACACTGTCTCAGTGGGTGGACCAACTGACTTCCTTGCTTGTCTTCTCCCTCCTTCGGCCGTTCAACTGGACCTTTGGGAGCTCAGTCCGTTGTTCTGATGAGGGTCTCTGTCTCTATCTCCATCTGTCGCAGGATGAAGATTCTATGGTGATATTCAAGATAATCATCAGTGTGATAGTGGGGCAAGGACAGTTCAGGCACCCTCTGCTCTGCTGCCCAGGGATCTAGCTGGGGACATCCCCATGGACACCTGGGATCCCCTCTAGAGCCAAGTCTCTTGCCAACCCTAAAATGGCTCCCTTAACGTAGATATCTTCTTCCCTGCTCCTATATCCACCCTTCCTCCATCTCAACCATCCCACTCCCTCAAGATCTCCCCAGACTTTCCCTTCTTTTTTCCCTCCCCCCCTCTCCCCTTCGTTCAATCTCACCCCTACCCCCACCCCCATGCTCCCAACTTTTGCCCAGCAATCTTGTTTGCTTCCAATTTCCAGGAGGATCTATATATGTTTTTCTTTGGGTTCACCTTGTTATTTGGCTTCTCTGGGCTTGTGAACTATAGGCTTAATGTCCTTTGTTTATGGCTAGAGTCCACTAATGAGTGAGTACATACCATATTCATCTTTTTGGGTCTATGTTATTTCACTCAGGATAGTGTTTTCTATTTCCATCCATTTGCATGCCAAATTCAAGATGTCATTGTTTTTTACCGCTGAGTAGTACTATAATGTGTATATGTTCCACACTTTCTTTATCCATTCTTCCATTGAGGGGCATCTAGGTTGTTTCCAGGTTCTGGCTATTACAAATAATGCTGCTATGAACATAGTTGAACAAATGCTTTTGTAGTATGATTGGGCATATCTTTGGTATATTCCCAAGAGTAGCATTGCTGGATCCTAGGTGGGCTGATTCCCAATTTCCTGAGAAACATTTTATTCATTGTTTTATTTTCTTATGGAATTGCAGTAACTCAGGATTCATCTGTTCTCTGTGATAGATAATAAAACGAATTAAAAGTATTAAGAGGTATTTATTTATTACTTTTTAAGACAGGATCTCACTGTATAGCTTTGGCTGGCCTGAAACTCATTTTATACACCAGGCTGATCTCCAACTCAGAGAGATCCACCTTTGGAGTGCTGAGATTAAAAGGAGTGCACCACCATACCTTCCAAAACACTGTTGTTAACTTTTAATGACAAAGCCTTGAGTAATATATACTTGATATATTAATGTCAGTATTAGGATTGATATAGGCATTGGATAATAAAGACATTTTACATTATTTACAAAGTTAAAAAATGAAATATAACAATGAGGTTTTTTGAAGTAGCAAATTATGTCTTAGCATAAACTTTGCTGTTACCATAATAGGTGTTATTACTGCTCCCTTTACAGCCTGTGTCCCAACCAGTAGGAGGTGAACAACAAGCAGCTCTTCAAAATCCAGATTTTGTTCGAAGGTAAGTATCATCATCTTCGTACCTAGAAATCAGTGGTAGCATGCTAACACATATCATTGTATGCTTAAAGTCCCTTGAATAAAGTAATCTTTTATTCTTGTATTTGTATAGGATTGATAAAATTGTGATGAATTTTATTCCTTAAGTATTTAGTGATCATATAAATTGTTAAATTATTGACCATATTTTATATTGCTTATAGTGTTCTCATCTACAAAGTAAATGAAAAATTATGTAAATTAATATTTCAGCTAATCTCACAAAATAAATCATAGAAAGATAAATAATTGCATTATTGGTAGTTTTAAGATAATCTTTTCTATATAGTATTCAAATTGGGTAAGTTCTATTATTTTTAAATTTATTGATTCTTTTCAATGTCCTGTATATTCTACCATTTTTTCCCATTCAGTGAAGTTTTATTTCTGTGATTCTATGTTTAGTCCTATAATTTCCATTTGATTCTTTTTTAATCTTCTATTTCTCATTGACTTTATTTTTCTCATTTGCTTCAAATGCTGTTTTAGTTACCTGTTGAAGTTTTGTTTTGTTTTTATTCTTTTCATTACTGGGTCCTTTTACATGCTACATGAGCACATTACCACTCAGTCTTTTGCTGAAGTTGGCTTTCCTTTCCATTTTTAATTTCTTTTTCCTTTGCACTGGGGACTAAACCCAGTGCTTTGTGCACTCTAGTCCACTGAATCATTTTGATTATGACTTGTCTAACAATTTCAATTTATGATTTATCTTAGACGTTTATGTCTGTTGATTGTCCTTCTGTATTCAAGTTATGATTTTCCTGGGTATTTGTTTTTTAATTTGTTTCGTTTTTGGTAAGACTAGAATTTGATTTTTATCTATATTTTAGGCATTATGTTAGGATAGTATAGATTCTAATTAAATCTTTTATTTTCTTAAACATTCCCTGTGTTTAATTGCTTGTGTTCTGGCTTACTCTTTAACAGGCTGTGGTTCCAATGAAAATTTAGTTTTAGAGTCCTTGTACTATTCTGGTCTGCTTTGTTCACCTGACACCATTGGGTACTACCTTGGGTAGAGTTTTCCTCTTGGAAATCTAGTCCATATTCTGTTGATGAGGCTCTTCCCAGTTCTCCTAGGAAAGAAGGAATCTATCTTTGGCTAATGGGCTAGAGTCAGGAGACATTAGGTTTGAGTTGCTTTTGTGGATGTACTGTGGATATATGAGACTGAGATTGATAGCCTTCTGTCATGGATAGATAATTGGGAGATGTCAAGCTGCTGTTGTTTGTTTGTTTTTCAAGTCTTTAGGGTTCCTATATAGTCCTTTATTTTTTCAGTCTTGGTTAGCTCCTGTGATTGTCTAGTTTATTATTTCTAGAACTTGTACTTGGGGAAAATGAGCAAGAAAAGTTGAGTTTCTGTCATTTTGTTCCAAAAGCTATATTTTAGATTTATTTTGTTGGGCTTATGAGTGTTCTGCATGTATGTATTTGCCCCACATATGTACTTGTTGCTCATAGGGGTCAGAAGAAGGCATTGAACTCAGTGGAACTAGAATTAAAGACAGTTGTGAACTGTGGCTTCACATGTGGGGGCTGGGAATTGATTCCAGGTCCTCTGCAAGAGCTAGTAAATGTTTTTTTTTGTTTGTTTTGTTTTTGTTTTGTTTTGTTTTTTTTTTTACCATTGAATCAGCACTCTAGTCTTAAACTAGTATTTTAAGGAAACTTTTGATTGCTGCGAACTCCCTAACCAGCAGGAAAGAACAGCCACCAGACCAGGATTCTTCCCAAATCACGCTTTATTGGAGCCTCTTGGTTGAAGGGAGAGCAGGAGGCGAGGGGCCCCAAGCTCTGAGCTGCAACTGCCTATATAGGGACTAGGGGTACGTGCAGGCCTCCTATTGGTCAAAGTGTCTCAGCAGCCATTCCAAGCTCCCTGATAGGTCGGGCACACTGAGGACACTGAGCATGCCCAAGATGGTGGTACTGGCTATGACCTTATATGGAATTGTTTATCCCAATCCTGCAGGGGCCCATAGCCATCTTGTAATGGTGGCCGCACGTACTGGCTCCCTGCATTTGATTATGTAAATTATTACTTCATGAGCTAAAATTATATCTTTTTTGATTATGTAAATTATTACTTCATGAGCTAAAATTATATCTTTTTTATCCTCTAATGATTATTACCTATTGCTGCCACTTCCTCTATTTTTTAAGAACTCCAGGAGAAGGTTGTATTGGAAGGGCTTGCTTGGGATGAAACCCAGACCTTGTATATGCTACACAAGCACTGTATCACTGAGTTATGTCCTTTGCCCCATGAGCATTAATGTGTAATCTTATCCTACTTGTACTTATGTGTATTATTATTATTGGTTTTTTTTTTCGAGACAGAGTTTCTCTGTAGCTTTAGAACCTGTCCTGGAACTAGCCCTTGTAGACCGGGCTGGCCTCGAACTCACAGAGACCCACCTGCCTCTGTCTTCCGAGTGCTGGGATTAAAGGCATGCACCACCACCGCCCGGCTATGTGTATTATTTTACATGAAGACATAGAAGGATTTTTTGTTTTTGTTTTTATCTCTTTTTGTATGTATCTACAGAGATGGTTCATGAGGAGTTTTTAGAAGGGTTCACCAAAAAATAATTTAAAAGATATGTTTGGGGGAAAAGAAAGGTCTATTGGTACTTACTAATTTCAAATATATTCATTGGAATTTTTTTTTAAGATTTATTTATTTATTATGTATACAACATTCTCCCTCCATGTATGCCCACACATCAGAAGAGGGCGCCATATCTCAGTACAGATGGTTGTGAGCCACCATGTGGTTGCTGGGAATTGAACTCAGGACCTCTGGAAGAGCAGCCAGTGCTCTTAACCTCTGAGCCACCGCTCCAGCCCCCTTCATTGGAAATTTTTATATTTAGTAATTCACTTCAAGTTTATTAAAGAAAAAGCTAAAATGTATTTTATTCAATTACAAAAGCTTGCCCTTTCACATTTTCCATTCTTTTTTATTTTTGAGATTAGAATATAATTATATAATTTCTCCCTTCTTTCCTCCATCCAAAACCTCCCATATACCCCCCATGTCCTCTTTCAAGTCTGTGACCTTTTTTTAGTTTTATTATGTTTTAAAGATTTATTTATTTATTATGTATACAATATTCTGTCTGTGTGCATGTCTGCAGGCCAGAAGAGGGCACCAGATCTCATTACAGATGGCTGTGAGCCACCATGTGGTTGCTGGGAATTGAACTCAGGACCTCTGGAAGAACAGTCAGTGCTTTTAACTGCTGAGCCATCTCTCCAACCCCATTGTGACCCTTTTTTAAAAAATTTGTTATTACATGTATTTATATATGTGTATATACATATATATTTCTAAATGCAACCTGCTCAGACTATATAATGTTATGTGTATGTATGTTTTCACTTTCTATTAGATACTCAGTTGATGTGCTCTTCTCTGAAGACTGTTTTTCCCACTCTCTCCATTTGTTAGTTACCTATAGTTCTTTAACTGGGGTTGAGGCATCCTTAGCGTTCCTTGTCTCCCCCTTCCCCCCACCTCAGTCCATCTTGGCATATCTATTGTTCAGTTCATGTTTAGGTAGTCATATTGGTAGACTTTATGTGTGTAGCTTTTGACATTACTAGGAGACACAATCTCACTGCAAACTCCTGGATCCTCTTTCTCTTGTAATCTTTTCTTCCCCATTCTACAATGTTCCTTGAGCCTTAGGCGTCAGAGTGTTTTATAGATATATCAATTGGGATTTGGCTCCACAACTTCATATTTAATTGGTTATGGTTTTCTATAGTAAGTTCTGTTGATGAGGAGTGAAGACTATACTTAGCTGTGGGTATAGGGACAAATGTTTATGATTGCTGTTAATGATTATGATAGTTTAGTAAAGTAGTGGTTATAAGTTTCTCTTCTAAGATTCATGACTTCATTAGTACTGTCTTTTGTATTTTTTTCTGATTTGAATTTATAAAATAGCTATAGTCACAGTTAATCATGTTTAACCACTTTTATATCATTCATTTTCATTGATTATTTTACCCCCTGCATTATTCCTGTCTTCTACACTTAGTTTGCTTATTCTTTGTTGACGTCTATCCCCTTTTTGGAGTAAGAATGTGTGTCTTCATTTTAGAAGCTTTATTTGAATATATTAATAATCTCTAAACAAACAAGAAAAATTTAGCTTTATTTGAATATACTAATAAAATAATCTCTAAACAAGTGAGAAAAAATTAATCAAGTGTATCTCCTAAATTATAAAAAAGGAACACCCTTTAATGAAAGGTTTTATAGTGGCCTATGACTACCATTGTCTTTCTTTTGTTCTTATTCCTTTGATTAAAATGTGTAACAAGTGGGGGCTGGAGAGATGGCTCAGAGGTTAAGAGCACTGACTGCTCTTCCAAAGGTCCTGAGTTCAATTCCCAGCAACCACATGGTGGCTCACAACCATCTGTAATGGAGTCTGGTGCCCTCTTCTGGCCTGCAGGCATACAGACAGAATATTGTATACATAATAAATAAATATTTTTAAAAAAATGTGTAACAAGTATATATGCTATCTCATTTTTTATAACTTTCAAAAACAGCTTTATTGAAATATAATTTGTGGGACTGGAGAGATGGTTCAGCAGTTAAGAGTAGTGGCTGCTCTTTCAATTACTAGCACCTTTTTGGTGGCTAACAACAGTCCCAGAGGATCAGATACCCTCTTCTATGGCACTGTATGCATATGGTGCACAGATATACATTCAGGCTTACCACCCTCACACATAAAATAAAAATAAATAAATGTAAAAAAAATGTAAAAAAATAAAAACAAATAAATGTTTAAGAAAAGCATATAGTTTATCATACAATTCACCTGTTCAACAGTGGTTTTGTATATATTCACAGAGTTATACAATCATAACTTATAAAGATATTACATTGGTTGATTTTCCTTAAGTGTATAATTTTATAATCATAAATTTTCTTTAGATTTTTATGATCATTATTGGAATGAGTTACCTTTTTTTAAATCACTAGCTTGAATCAAGATGTGACAACTATGAAAGAAAACACTAATAACCCTGATAACCCAAATGGAAATGGCAAACAGGATCGGATCAAACAGAGAAGAGCCTCCTGTCCCCGACCAGAGAAGGGGACTAAATTTCAGCTTATTGTCCTTCAGGTCAGTGTGTATGTTTTAGAGCCTGGGAGACTCAGGGAGAAACAGTGCTGTAAATGCAGTGAATGAAGTAAATTCAGAATATTATGAAGCCTTCTGTAAATTCCATTCAAAATTTCTGATGAGAACATTACATTGTAGTTATTAAACTTGGAAATTGTAGGCTAAATAAAAGGAAGAACTTAAAATCCCTATAACCATGAATCAGAGCTTATTCCGTCTATATTTTTAGTTTTCATCTTTTTTCTATGTGTATGTGCAGTGTTTTACATTTAATTTGAGTAATTATCAGAGACATTAATATTAGCAAAAATATATTGAATTATTTTGTGGTAGGTGTCCCAGATATTATGTACTTATTATTATCATGACCCTCCAAAAGCCTTATATGATAAATAGTATGCCCATCTCACAAATATAGATGCTCACACCAGAGAAGTAATTTGCATAAAATCATTCAACTACCAAATGCTGGAGTCAGATCTGCAGCCAGATCAGAATTTAAAGCCTGTATCCCTAACCAATATGATATATGTTTCAGTAGGATTATAAAACTTACATACAGTTTTATATCACTTCTTTTTGAAAGCTCAATATATTATGTACATGTTTCTGATGCCAGTAAATAATTTGAATAATATATTTTAAATGTCTGCAATACATAGTCCCTTATACAGAGATATAATTTAATCATCCTTTTTCCCATTCTTTCTTTAAGTTGCTGAATATGTTGTATGTGAGCTTATCTAGTTACTCCTTATAAAATGTTTTTGTTGTTATTGTTGTTTTGTGGGTTTTTTGTTTGTTTTTTGGGGGGGGATTTTGAGACAGGATTTCTCTGTATCTTTGGAGCCTGTCCTGGAACTTGCTCTGTAGACCAGGCTGACCTTGAACTCACAGAGGTCCACCTGTCTTTGCCTCCCAAGTGCTGGGATTAAAGGCATGTATCACCACTGCCCACAAAATGTTTTGATTTTATTTTCATTTTTATTGTTTTTAGACAGAGTCTGATAATAGCTTAGGCTTACTTCAAACTTACTATATAGTCAAGGATAATTTTGAATTTCTAATCCTGCTTTCACTTCCCAAGTACTGAGATTACAGATGTGTACTACCATGATTGGTTTATGTGGTGCTGGGGATGGAGCTCAGGGCTTTGTGCATGCTAGGCAAGCACTCTTCCAACTGTGTTCCATCCCCAGCTAAGACAGCTTCTCTTAAACTGGTTAAATGTATGTACTTAGGTATCAGTCTCTGGAGATAACATGGTGGAGTGTCAACTAGAAACACACAACAACAAGATGGTCACTTTCAAGTTTGATGTCGATGGTGATGCACCTGAAGATATTGCAGACTATATGGTCAGTATAGTAAGACAGTACTATTTTTCCCCTTAGTGGAATTATTCTCTCTCCTTTTTCTCATCCCACTTGGTTTTCCCTCTGTTTTCTCTTCACTCATTCATTTATACCCATCTCGTGATAGAATGTGTATAGTTTTTTCTTTTTTCTATTTTCTATTTTTTAAATTATTTTGTAGTTTTTTTTCTAATTTGCACAGAAAAAAGTGATTATCAGGGATAAATTACTGCATTTCCTCTGGTTTTACTGTAGTTATCTAGGAAATATGAGGTTTTGGGGACTTTTTGTTTTGTTGGTTTTTAGCTCACTGTGTTTTAATCTCTGTCTATATGTTTAAATAATATTATAAGCTTTAAATGATAATCTCATTGCATAGGCCCCTGATTAAATCAGAATCAGGCCACCTAGATACTTTTAATGTATCTAACATTCTGCCCAAAAGTATTCAAGTTATGTTTTTCAGTACATTTAGTTTTATTTTTTTAATGTGTGAGTGCATTGTTGTGTGTGGTGTATGTACATGTTTATATAGATATGTACATGAAGTACAGAGGACATTGGGTGACCTCAACTGCTGTCCACTTTATTTCTTTATGATAAATGTGAATGTAGTGTTTATGAATATCATATATGTGCAAGTATGTGTTTGGGTACATTCACCCATACCTACTCAGAAATGTGAGACAAAAAAGGTGTCAAACATCATTGTGTTCATTTTGTGTTTTACTGACTCTGGAGCTCATTGATTCAACTAGACTTGCTAAGTTTTAGAAATCTTCTTGTCTCCGTCACCCCTAAACCTGTCCTCAGCGCAGGGATTACAGATGCACACTACCAATCCTGACTTTTTTTTCTCTCTTTTTTTCTTTTTTTAAAAAAAGATTTATTCTTTATTAGGTATGCAACATTCCTTCCATGTACACCTGAGCCCCAGAAGAGGGCACCAGATCTCATTATAGATGGCTGTGAGCCACCGTGTGGTTGCTGGGAATTGAACCCAGGTCCTCTGGAAGAGCAGTCAGTGCTCTTAACTGCTGAGCCATCTCTCCAGCCCCCCAATCCTGACTTTTTTATAGATACCAGAGAGTCAAACTCAGGTTCCCATTCTTACACATAAGGCACTTTACCAACTTTGTCATTAACCCTGACCCATATTTACTTTTTAATAGGTTTGAATAATTAGGCTTAGAATAGTGCTTTTCTTTTATGTCTTTAGTTCTAGCACTTGAAGGAAGAAGCAGGCAGATATCTGTGAGTTTGAGGTCAGCCTGATCTTCATAGTGAATTCTAGGACAGCCATGATTATGTCAAAAGAGCCTGTCTTCCAAACAAAACAAAACAAAAAATGCCCAAATAAAGCAATGTGGGACGAAAAAAAAGATACAAAATATCATTGTGTTTTTGGTGTTGCCTATCTACTTACTAGGTGTGGGTCCTACCCTTGAGTGTGGTTGATATCCCCAGTGAAACTGTTGGAGAAAACTAGTCTTTCCTTTGTAAGTGGATGTCAGTTTGGAAATAGCTTCTTGGTTGTCATATGGGCTTGTGTCCACTTCCCCCTCTCAGTGCTGCCACACCATCTGTCTTGGACCTGTGCATGCCCAGTGCATGCTGCCACCATCTCTGTTAGTTCTTATGTGTGTCAGTCCTGTTGTCTGTAAGACACTGTTTCCTTGGTGTCATCCATCCCTTATGGGTCTTATCTTTCTGCTTCCTGAGCCCTGATGAAAGGGACTTGATGAAGATACCTTTTTAGGACTTAGTGTTCCAAGGTCTCACATTCTCTGCACATTGTTCAGTTGAAATTGCAGCCAATTTATAAATTCAAGATATTTCAAAGTATAGTGACTTTTTCTGATAAATATCAGTGATCTCAGAATAATTGAATGCGTTATGAAACTTTTTATAACTGGTCTTAATTATTTTTGTGGCACATGCTTTGTTTTGATCCTTTGGAATTCACCATGAAAATATTATAATTTTGAAGAAAATGAATATATTCTCATGAATACATTGGCTTTTACTTGATGGCAGGTTGAAGATAACTTTGTGCTGGAAAATGAGAAAGAAAAATTTGTAGAAGAATTGAGGGCTATTGTCGGTCAAGCCCAGGAGATCCTTCATGTCCACTCAGCTGCAGAAAAATCTATTGGTGTTGACTCTGTTGCCTTGGAATCCAATAGTAACCAAGTAAGAACACTTTTCAGTAAGAAGGCCATTTGGGGACTTTGTCATGAATATCATTATTTACCTGTTCATTTTTATTTCAGACAGGATCATCTGAACAAGTACTGATAAATTCTGCATCCACTCAAACCAGCAGTAAGTATATTTAATAAAATTTATCATTTGGCTTTTGCAAAAAGGCATTTTGGTGTCTTGATATACTTTCATAGATAAAGATATTAACCAATAAATTAATTTGAAAATAAATTGTTTTTCCACACTTGAAAGAAATTTATAGCCCATAAATTTTTAAAAAACTATTGATTCTTTATCTGAGTAATTTACTTTTGAGTTGTTATATGGTATGTTACCAGAAAAGGAAGACTTTGACAGCCTATTTGAATCTTAACTGCTAATTTGTTTACTTTGACATGAGATGGACAAAAGTATCCTAACTAAAATCTGTGTTCTAAGTTTGCCTCATATTTTAATAGGCATTCAGAACTTGACTATTTCACTGATGATAATACTTCTACCAGTTCTGGTCACTGATAACTTTGTAAATCAGACACCAGATAAACTTCTAGAAACTAAAATTAGGGTTCTTCTGTTTTCTTTTCTGACAACTTTATCTCTTCATTCTTCTTAGCCCTGGTCATGGGTATAAGAGTGTCTGGGAGGGGGAGATGAACCATAGTATCATGAAGACATCTGAAGGAATTTACACAGCATGAAGAAGCAAAAAGTGGTGTGGAAATAATGGAAGCAGATACCATTATCCTGAAATTTAGTTAAACTGTATTAGGTTGCCAGAGTACATCTATATCTTACTTTGTTGGTTAGCAGAAATCTGAGCAAGTGTCTGACTGACAACGTAAGATAAAGTTCCAAAGAAAATTACTTGAGAAAGTTACAGATATAGGGATTTGTCTTACTTTACTTTTATATTGTCATAAGCAAGCTAGATTTACTTCTCTTTTTTTCTGGTCTATAGTTCTCTAAATTTTAATGCTTGTATACCACCATGATATCACTTAGGCACAGCCATAATCAGGTTGCAGAACAACAACTATAGATTTGAATGGAGAAACTATGACCCAGTTATTTAAATGTAGTGCTTTGCCTCTGGTTACTATTAATATATATCTTACATTTAGTTCTGTAAACTGTTTGTCAAGGCTGGGATGTTACTCTTATGACTTATAATTATCCTTGTACTGTTGAAAGTGGAGATGCAGCACAAGCTAATTTTAACTTGATTTCTTTATTTAATATGAACACACTGAAATTTTCTTCGTGTATAATTTGTTAATAATTCTTTCTCCAGATGAATCAGTTCCTCAGTCATCCCCAGTTGGTCGGTGGCGGTTTTGTATCAACCAAACTATAAAACATCGTGAGGCACAGTCTCCTCCTTCCCTTCAGCCTTCTGTGGCTACAGTTCCTGGGTTACATCCATTTTCTAGTAAGCTTTATTGTCTGCCAGATTTCTATGGACTTGGATGATATGGTTAAAAATTACAGACTGTATTTATTAATTTGTTTTTAGGAGTATTTTATGCTTATGAAAGTTTTCATGAGCATTTTAGAAGACATTAATATTGCTATGTAACAGGCCATTTTATTCAGTTTTTGTGGAAAAAAAAAACCCAAGAAGTCATTTCTTCTTGACTGTTGAATTCTGTGATGTTTTAGGTCTCATTTACAAATGTACTTTTAAATAGGTCCTAATTTGACCCTTGCTTTCCTTGTCCCTTTTGAGTTTTGTGTTTACACTTTTTACTCATCAAAACTTAACTATTCTTTTGTTTTGTTCCAGGTTCAAGAAACACAAGTAATCAGGATATATCACAGGACACATTGTTCACTATAGAGAATAATCCAGGCCAGCATGTAATTTTCACCTCTAAATCAGAACACAAGGATGTGGTTGATGGTAATATCTCTGAATGTGCTAGTGGAGAAACTGAGCAGCCAACTATTCACTATCAAGTGGAAGATGACAGACAGATAAGGGCACCAGCTATTGATCATTCCAATGATTCTGCTACTTTGGTATGTCCAGTTTCAGTTGAATGTGAGGCACTCACCAGCCAAGCAGGCATGTTCATGCCTACCCATCCATGTCAGCAAGCTGCTGTTCTGGCTGATGTGCTTCTGGCCCATCCTGGTGAATCGGTTCAGATTGGTGATAATGTTGTTCTAACTTCAGCATTTGTATCTTCTGATCAAAAGCCTCAACCAACTATAGATGCAGAGTTCATTTCACAAGAAGTAGAAACCACAGTGAACACTGAAACAAGTTCTCCTAAGGCAGTCCTTGCCACTCAGACTCCTGGCTTTGAACCAGCTACACATCTTCCTGCTACTGTCCTGGAATCAGATGGGGAACGACCTCCAAAAATGGAGTTTGCAGACAACCGAATTAAAACGCTGGATGAAAAATTAAGAAACCTGCTCTATCAGGAGCACAGCATTTCTAGCATTTATCCTGAGAGTCAGAAGGATACTCAAAGCATAGACTCTCCATTTTCTTCCTCTGCTGAAGATATACTATCCTATTCAATGCCAGAAATCATAGCTGTCAGTCACTGTGGGATTCAAGATAGTCCCACACAATCTCCGAATTTCCAACAGACAGGCTCTAAGATTCCGTCCAATGCAGCTGCAAGTCAGCCTGCTAATGTATCAGTGTTCAAAAGAGACTTGAATGTGATAACTTCTGTACCCAGCGAGTTATGTTTACATGTGAGTATCTTTCTAATTCTTATTCTTTGGTTATGGAATTTAAAGAAATGCCCTCTCTCCTAAAATGTTCCAAAGTAACTACCATTTATGATTGTGACTTAGGCTGCAGCTACTCAAAACTTCTTAGAAATGGCAGATTTGCCTTGAGTTTATTTAAGAAAGCCTTCTGGTGAGTTGGCTTGAAATTTGCAAACACTGTATAATTTTAGATTATTTTGAGGATAAGAGTAATAAACTTTTTGATTTCAGTTTGAGGGGAAACTTTAAAAACAAAACAAGAAAAATTTACAAAGAGAAAACTGTTGTCCATTCCCTTATAACAATTTTACAGTATTAATTTAATATTTTGATGTGTTTAACTTATTTTTTAAAATCATCCATAATCCCACGACTTTTTTCTCAACCTCTAAAAGAACTAGAAATATAGCTCAGTGATAGAGTGCTGCCCCAGTACCTTAAACAGTAAAACATTTAATTAAGCATGGTAACCCATACCATAATCTTATCACCAAGGAGGTGGAGGTGGTAGGATCAGAAGTTCAAAATCATCTTCAATTAATACTAAGATTGAGGCAAGCCTTGACTACATGACACCTTGTTGAAAAAGAACAAATAGAATGTAAGCGGAGCTCATATATCCTGGCCATTACCTGCTGAACTATTAGTTTCTGATAAATCGTAGGAGAGAGGACAGTCATTGTCTTAAGTTGTGTAATCATGGTGAACCCACCAGGCTCCAGTGAAAAGTCCCAAACATACAGTCACACAGATGGTCCTGGTTAAACTCAGTGAATCACAAAATAAATGTAAAGACATGAACACGGCAAAGGAACTTGTTGGGAGGAGAGGAGTTGATAGGGATGGGAGAGAAATGAGAACGTGGGGTGGAGTAATCAGAATTCATTATTAACATGTATGAAAGTATTTATAAATTCAATTAGAAAAATAAAAATAAGTTCAGAAAAACAGGAGAAGGAGCAGTAAGAAAACGAGTTTTTCCCAGAAAAGTTGAAATAGAAAGATTACAAGTTTTCCAGGTTTTAGATTCCCTGAATTTTAGAATACTTGTAAATACCAGATGGAGTATGGGGCTGGTACCCAATTCTAAATACAGAATTCATTTTTGTTTCTTATATATTTATACACAGAGACTGTAGACAATTTTATATAGTTTATTAATGCACTTTTATTTTAATTGCAACTCATTAGATGAGGTTGGTCAGATGTGGAATTTTCCACTACTAGCAGGATCATGTTGGTACTCAGAAAGTTTCAGATTTTGGATTTTCGATTTTTGTTGAGATTGCCCACCTATATAATATAGGAACTTTAATATCCCCATTTTTATGTCTTTTTTTATTTTTCAGTATTGGCTATTAAGTTCAGGGATCAAATACATACCATGCAAGTGCTATACCACTGAGCCATACCCCTAGCCCTATTTCCCTTTTCTACCTGTTCAGCCACAGAGGTAATCACTAGTAATTTTGCTGCTTTTCCTTCTTGACCTTTCTTAACCCTACATAGATCTATTTGGATGCATATCACATATGTTCTTCAAAATAATATTGTGCTAAAAGCACATAATTACTGTGTCAGCGAACTGAAATTTTTCATTTTACCATCTCATGAATATCTTTGTAAATGTTTACTACTGTAATTTTTGTCATCATTGCTATCCAAATAATATATACTTGTGTGCAAAATAAAATCTATCACATCCCAAATCTGTAAACATAACTGTTGGCATTTCCAGATATGATTTTTGTTAATGTACAAATATTTGTACCAACATAATTCTGCACATTTATTATGCCTTTTATTAACATAAATACATGTAATATTTATATACATATATTCCTTTGTGTATATATGCTGTTTTGCTTTTTTTAATTTTTGTAAAGTAGTTTAAGTTATAGAATTAATATGTAAGCACAAAAGAATTTCAGACAAATAGTAAAATCTAAACAACTTAACATTTCCTAAACAAGTTTCTTATTGTAGTTTCTTTGGTCATTATCATTAATAACTTGTAAATAATACATGTATTTGTTCCTCTCTTGATTTAGTAATTTTGTGTTTTTTCTTTTTAAGACTGTGTTTTACTATGTAGCTTAAAGCTGCTGTGGAACCCATTACCTTGCCATTCAACAGAATGGACCCCTTATAACTCTGTTACCTCTTAAAGGTTCTGCCTGTTTCTGCCTCTCAAAGCCTCACAATGGGAGTTAAGTTTTAACATTATTTTGATGAGGACATTTAACATATAACAAATTCCTCTTTGGATTCTTCATTGTTTAGCATATAGAAATGCAACTGACTGGTTTTTGTTTTTGTTTTTGATACAAGGCATCCACTCTGTAGTCCAGGCTATCTTGGCTTCAAACTCATAGTAATCTTCCTATCTCAACCTCGTTCTATCTTAACCTTTATAGTGCTGGGATTATAGATGTGACCCACTCATCCAAACAATAACTGACTTTCATGTGTTAAGATTGTGTACTTGAATTTTTCTGAGTCTATTTATTGGCCTAATAGTTTTTGGTGGGTTCTTTTGGATTTTATTTTTCTCTTTTTTTATGGATGTGTTTGCATGTATATGCACATATGTGCATGTGTGAGTACACATCGAGGCCAGAGATTGACAGTAGATGTCCTTAATCACTCTTCACCATATTCCATTGTGGCAGGATCATTGATTGACTAGTGAAGCTAGACATTTTTCTCAGAGGATCTGAATTCGTTTCCTCATACTTTCATAGCAATTTCTAAATTCATTTGTTGATGGAGCGGCAGGGCTACGTTCCTGGCACCCGGCCGCCCGCACGGCTAGCTTTATACCCGAAATAATTACACGGAAACTGTATTCTTTTGAACACTGCCTGGCCCATTAGTTTCAGCCTCTTATTGGCTAGCTCTTACATATTGATTTAACCCATTTTTAATAATCTGTGTAGCCCACGAGGTGGCTTACCAGGAAAGATCTTACCTGCGTCCGTCTGGAGTGGGAGAATCATGGCGACTCACTGACTCGGCTTCTTTCTCCCAGCATTCTGTTCTATTTACTCCGCCTACCTAATTTTCTGTCCTATTAAAGGGCTGAGGCAGTCTCTTTATTTAACCAATGAAATTAACACAAAACAGAAGACTCCCCCATCATTCATCCATTGAGCCATCTCCCTATCCCTGAACTTTTTTCTTTGAGACAGGATCTCATTATGTAGACCAGGCTGGCCAAAAACTCACAGATATCCACCTGCCTATGTTTCCTGAGGGCTGGGATTAAAAGAGTGTACCACCATGCCCAGCTTTGGGTTTTCTATGTATAAAATTTTGTCATTTGTGAATGAAGAAAATTTTATTTGTTCATTTCTTATTTTTCTCATATGTTAACTTTTCATATCATGCATTCCTCTTTTTCCCTTTGCTTTTTGTAATGAGATAATTTTCTCCATTTTTAAGATGATTATATTGTCCTATTTAGTCATTTTGCATCAAGGATTGCATTTTTTAATTTCTAATAGCTGTAATCCATTCTTTGTTTTTTAAATATTTATATTTAATTTTCTGTGTATATATGTATGCCCAATGTGTATGTATATGTGCCATGTGTGTGCAGGAGCCCACAGAGGTCAGAAGAGGAGCTTGATACCCTAAAACTAGAGTTACAGATAGCTGTCAGCCAATAGATAGGTTCTGGGAACCATACCTGGTTGCCCTTAACCACTGAGGCCTCTTTCTAGCACTGAGTTTAGTATTTTCTTTCAGTGTTAGTTTTCTTTAAGTTTTGTTAATTCTTAGTTCTGTGTTCATTTTTTTTTTCAATTTCTCCCATAAGATTCTGTGTTCATCTGTACATATGTGCTATTATATAATTATTGTATCTTTAATTGTGAGAAAAACATCAAACAGACTTTTTTGTGCTATACATTTTAACATTTTTTTAAAGCTTCCTGGTGGGTAACTGCTGTAGCTAGTCTATAAAGGCAGCTGGGCTGTTAGATATTGTCTTTGCCCCTCACTGACTTTTCTCTTGACCAAAATATTTCTTCTTTGTATTCTTATTATGGGAGTAGGTGTTCTGGTGTTTTTTTCTTGGTGTAGAGAGAAGGGAATGACTGTTCTTTCTTTTTTACCTCAACCAGTATAATCATCCATTCAAAAATTGTCTATTGAACAGTAAGTCAAAACTTCTTTTTATGAAGTTCACATTCTAGTATTTAACAGTCTTTCAATAACATAATTTAAGGGCTATGATAAATTAGATTACCCATTTTGAGTGATCAGGGAAAGACATATATAATATATAGTAGTGACATTTTCAGGTAGATATTTGTTCAAGGAATCAAAAGAAGGCCAGTTAAGTAGAAAGATATTTTAAAATATAATACAATGAAAAGACATATGGGAAAATGATTGGGTGGAATTTTGTAAGCATCCTTTTTGTTGACCAGATTTCTTTGTTGCTGCTCATATCTAGCATTTGAGTATGTGGTCTTTTTGAGACAGTTCATACATATAGTACAGTCTTCCTTTCTTCTTTCTTTCATAAATTCTTATGTCTAGATCTGGAGTTTTATTGTTGCTGTTGTTTTGTCTGAGTATTTCACTTTACAAGGGAAACTAAAATTTATGGTAAATATATCTTGTTCTATTCACTACATATTTATAATTTGTGTCTAAATAAGTGCTTATTATAAATGAGAAATATATTTCATTTATAATTTCAGTGGCATCAGTGTAGCACTTTCTGAAATATAGTATTTTTACAATTTTTTCTCTCCTAGTTTAGATAATATTGCTAACCCAAAATAGGACTTCAGAAACTTGCTTACTGATTGTTCAAAATTTCACCTTTTTTTGAGGTAACTTCTTATGTATCCTAGGCTGGCCTCATACTTACTACATAACCACGAATGATCTACCTCTACCTTTTGAGTGCTATGATTACAGATGTATGTACATGAATGCCTTGTGTGGTTCTGGGAATCAAACCCAGGGCACTGTGCTTGCTAGGCAAGCCCTCTATCAACTGAACATCTCTAGTCCAAAATTTTCCCTTTTGATAACTTCTGATTTAAGTATTAATAGTGCTTGTCATGTAGGAAGGCTGTCTTCCTTTAGATTAATGATACATCCCTCCCTATATACTTTTTATATTCACTTTTAATACTCTGTTATTAGTGACCACTTTTTTCTTTTTCTTGACAGGATTTCTCTGTGTCAGCCCTGGCTATCCTGGAACTCTGTAGACCAGGCTGACCTAGAACTCACAGAAATCTGCCAGCCTCTGCCTCCCAATTCAGTGATTAAAGGCGTGCGCCACCACCGCTGGATGGTTATTTTTATATCCCAAAGGATCTATGGTTCTATGCACTAAGTTTTTATATTAATTACCGCAGATTATTTATGAAGCACTCATTTAGACACAACAAGCAATCATGGGTGTTTGGGGAGGGTAGGAGGACAAGAAGATGATGGTTTTATAGCAAACATGATCTGATATTAAAAATTCTTAGAGCATGAATTCACAGTAATTTTTCATTTCTTTGTAAATTTCTATGAGATCATATAAACTAAGAAACTTTCCTCATATTTGCTATTTCTTTATTACTTAAACAGCTTTAAATTGCTTGTTTTTCTATTGTATCATATATCAAACATAATTATCTCTTAAATAATAGGGGAATAAGCTAATATTTCACTTAATAGCATTTATAAACAGGCATGGTACTGCACACCGGAAATCCTACTCCTTGGGAGGTAAAAACAGTAGGAGCCGGAGTTCAAGGACAGCCTGAATTACATGATATCTTGTGTCTAATAAACCAAAAAACTAGTACTTTTAGTCATTGGCATATATAAAAAATAACTTATTTTCAGTTTTAGTTTTCAAATTTGATGTAATGACAACAAATATTTTGGCCTGGAAAATTAATAGTGTCTTTTATTTAATCTAAAGACATAATATTTCCAAAGAAATATCAAAGCTTCGGTTTCAGTCTCGTATGCACTGTTACTGAAATAATCCATAGTTTTATGGTTAATTATTAATCCATATAAGAAAACTTTTATACTACAAAACTTAACTCACCTTACCTAAATATTACCACTTGGTTTTTCTTTGATTTTGTCTCCATTAGGAGATGTCCTCAGATGCTTCACTTCCAGGGGATCCAGAGGCCTATCCTGCTGCTGTGTCAAGCGATGGAACCATTCATCTGCAGACAGGAGGTGGATATTTTGGCCTAAGCTTTACTTGTCCTAGTCTCAAAAATCCTATTAGCAGGAAATCCTGGACTCGAAAATTAAAAAGCTGGGCATACAGGCTACGGCAGTCAACCAGCTTTTTCAAGAGATCAAAAGTCCGTCAAGGTAGTGTGCTTACAGTCAGGGACATAGACTAGGTAACATCATTTTTCATCTACTTTTTTTTTTTGTCGTCCATATTTGAATCTTGCCATTTTTTCCCATGTAGCTCATATATATTAAATATCCCATTAGTGTTGTGGCCATTTTATTTTTTCCTTTTGTAACTAATTTGGTTTTTCAGTTATTCATTTCATATAGATACTAAGTATCGGGATAAATCTTGCAATGTCTGATTTTAGAGTTAGGGACTTAAACAATGTTGCTTATACATTAACACTTTTTAATTATCTAGCAAGGGTTAAACTTTTTCTGCTTATCTTCATTTTTGGTAATGTAAACAAATTAGTCTTAAAAGTGATTTTTCTCTTTTCTGCTTATAATTTGACAAACCTTACAGTGGAAACAGAAGATAAAAGATCAGCAATTGCTTCTGATCCCATTCCTCTGCCACGAGCATTCTCAGCTGATACTAGGGCTTTGAGCAGATGCAAAGCAATGGGTGGATCATTTCAGCGGGGCCGTTTCCAGGTTTGTGTCTTTGGTTGTCTCTTTATCATTGCCTTATGAAAGAAAACAGATAAGAGCTTCATGGGAGAGTTTGCTCAACATTTGTGAGACCCAAAGTTCTATTCCCAACACTATAAAAAAGTGAAACCATTTGATATTGATCTGCAAATCATCCTTACTTGAATTGTAAATCATTTCATACCTAATTTTTACCTTGGTCATATCTTTTTACCTTACAACGCTATCGCTATAGATGAATCTGAAAATTATAAGGATGTTAGTTACAAACGAGCAGAGAAATAGATAATCATTTTTGGGTCATCATTTCTATCAATTTAATTCCCTGTTTAGAATTATTTTTATTCATTTGTATGTATCTGTGTGACATATGCCGTGTGAGGTGCCTACAGAGTCAAGAAGAGAATATCAGATCCCTGGGAGCTGAAATACAGACAATTGTACGCTACCACATAGATGATGGAAACCAAACTCAGGTCTTCTGTTGGAACAGCAGATATTCTTACCCGCTGAGCTGACTCTCCTGCCTCAATTTAATCTAATGTCCTTTAGAATCTCAGCAAATTTCATAGTGGAATTTTATTTGGGTAACATGAAGCTATTCTATCCAAAGGCCCCAACTGAATGACTGTGACAGTATAAGTTTTTGTATTACCAAATATTATATATGTTAAATTGGCCTTTCTTGTCTGTGCTGTGTTTTGACAATGAATTTCTTCATGAGGTTTACCCTTTGATTAAATAGAACCAAACAAGTTTACCTTTTTCTGTCTCAGGTGATTACAGTTCCTCAGCAGCAGTCAGTGAAAATGATGTCTTTTGGAAAAGAACACAGACCTCCATTCAAGAAAACAACAGTCCAGTACAGTGAACAAGCAGCAGCCTTTGCTGAAACTGCAGTATCTCAGTTGATCGAAGTGGAACCTGCCATGCCCACTCCTAAAGCGTCAGATTCTTCACGAAAGTTACGAACTCTTTGTGAAACTTTTAAAGAAGATAAAAGAGAGCCTGAACAAGGTGACATCTTCTCATCTTTCAGCACAGCTTGTGAAACCAGTGTGTCTTCAGTGACTACAGAAAAGAACTTGGAAGAAACTTCAACTACAGGAATCAGTGTGCATTCTGGGTCTGAACCGTTAGATAAAGAAACAGAGGAATTGACTCCTGGGAAACAGCCATATGAATTTTCGGCCCCTCTTGCTGGTAATGGAAAGTCAGTGGCAAAATCTGGTTCAAAGAGTGATAAGTATTTACCACTCAGTAAAGAGCAAGCCTATGTTCAAACACAGAGTTCACTCTTCTATTCTCCATCTTCACCAATGAGCAGTGATGATGAATCAGAAATTGAGGACGAGGACTTGAAAGTAGAGCTTCAAAGATTACGAGAAAAGTAAGGATGCTCTCTTTTCTGTAACAAATCTAATTGTTTACGAGTTTATAGAACTTAATATTTGCTCTGTAGCTAATTGGATATTGGTGGTATTTTAATGATTAAAACTTCTGTGATTAAAAACTGTAATAAATTTATTTATGTACATAATTATCCATAAAATGTTTATGGAATGCTAAAGTTATTGCATATAAAATAATTTTATCTTAGTTTTAAAATTGTTTTATGTGTTTAGATGTTTTGCCTGCATGTTCATTTGTGCAGCCTTTGTGTGCAGTGTCCATGGAAGCCAGAAGAAGTTGTTGGATATCCCACTAGAACTGGAGTTAATAAGCAGTTGCCAGCTGCTATGTGGTTGCTGGGAATTGAATTCAGGTCCTCTGGAAGAGTATCCAGAACTCTTAACTACAAGCTATCTCTCCAGCTTTTTGAGACAGGGTTTTGCTATGCAATTCTGCCTGCCTGGCCTGTAATATACTATGGAGCTAATCCATGTTGACCACAAACTTGTGGTAATCCCCCTGCTTCTGCATTCTTCATGCTGGTATTACAGGCACATGCCAAGATGAATACATACTTTTTTCAATCCTTGTTCTTTAGTACTCTTGGAATACGAATATACGACTATTCTCACCTTTTATTAGTAGATAGCTAATTTATATAGTCAAAGAGAATAGTTCATCTTTAGGAAAATACAAGATCCTTCTAAGATCAAGCTTATTATTTAGTGAATGAGGTCATAAAGTTTTACTAATGATATTATAGCAATATGTTTTATCATGTAGAGTGTTTTTTTTTAATGTTGTTTTGTTTGGTATTTGGTTTCATATACCAGCCTAATCTTAAACTTGCTAACTTTAAGATCTTGAACTCCTGACCCTGTTGCCTGAACCTCCCAAGGGCTGGAATTACAGGCATGTGCCATCATAACAATGACAAAATTACCACCAACAACAAAAAAAAATTAACCACCTCTACAAAATTTATGGTCTACTTTGAAAAGTGCCATGCAAGCCTGGCAGGCAGAGTTTAAACCACAGAATCCACAGTGGAAGAAGAGACCCAACTGCTGAAAATTTTCTTCTGGCCACCACAAACATATATCATACACCTATATACATAATAATAATTCTTATAGCAAAAGATTGTTTTGTTTTGTTTTTCGAAACAGGGTTTCTCTAGCTTTGGAGCCTGTCCTGGAACTAGCTCTTGTAAACCAGGCTGGCTTCGAACTCACAGAGATCTGCCTGCCTCTGTCTCCCGAGTGCTGAGATTAAAGGCGTGTGCCACCACTGCCCGGCCTATAGCAAAAGATTAAAAGTTAACTAAAATACACATGTATAAATGTTTGATAATACATTGCATATATTTCATTTTTCCTATATATTCAGTACTGTGTAGTTTATGTATACAGATATTTTATAGTACAATACTTATTTTTAAAGTGCTTTAATATTTGTGATGTTAGTATTCTACTTATGTTTTATGGAATATTGTTATTGTTTGAAATATGGTCTTGCCATTTAGCTCAGGCTGGCCTCAAGTTTGCAAACTCTGAACTGCCTCAGCCTTCTGATTATAAGAATTTAATCTTTTAAATCATTTGGAAAAGACTGTTGGCTTTTATAGCTGCCTATGTTGGTTATGAGTACTTAATTTTGGTTATGAAATATAGATTCTCAAAAAAAGTCTTTTTATTCTGGGATTTGAGAGATGACTCAGTAGTTAAGAGTACTTCCTGTTCTTCAGTTCCCAGTATCCATATCAGGTGACTCACAACTACCTGTAACTGCAACTCTAGGAGTTCTGATGACCTACATATTTGTGCCATATATTCATACAAACACACACATAAATTAAAACAAAATCTTTTTTAAAATATCAGCCCCAAATAGGACCAGGTGTGGTATTTCATGCTTTAATTCCAGCACTTGGGGTGCAGAGGCAGGTAGATCTCTCTTTAAGTTGAGACTAGCCTGTTCTACATAGCAAGTTCCATGCCATTGACAGCTCTGGTGCAGACCTAGTAGCAAGACACTTAGCTCTGAAAGTGCTAGAGTTCTTACATAAGGCCAGGAAGTTGGGATTCTTAGTCCTTGCAGCAGCTGGCATTACAATGGATAGGCAGCTGTAGGTATCAGGATTCCTCGGGCCCTGGCAATGGCCAGTCTGAAACCCTCCATGCTCAAGTTTGACAGCTGTCTGGAATTCTTCCAGTGACCAGGACCAGCAGTTACTTTTCTCTGGTTTTTTATTGCCTTCAATCCTTTTTTCACCCACAACTCTCTTTCCTTTCAACTTCCACTATCCCTTTAGTTCCTGCCTGGCCCCTCTCTCAAACTATTGAGCTACCTCTTCTTCAACAGTCAAGCAGGTGAACCTTGCTTATTTTGAAGCTCAGCCTGCTGACAACCAAACTCTATTCTTCAACTGTCAAGGAGACAGCTGCATTGCCACTTTCATAGTTTAGGCCTGCAGACTGTTCAACTCTCATTGCCTCTGTTGTCTCTGCTGTTTTCTTTGTGTTTACCAGCCCTGCCTACACTACTGAAAGTAGGCAAGACCACCCAGGAGAAGCAGCTTTGTATTGGGCCTAATGTTACAGGAGAAAAGCCAGCACAAGACCTGCTTATAAAGCCGTGGGAGTGTTTGGACCAACCACAGTGTATCTTTCACAGCACTATTCCTTTAGCCACAGCCACAGTAGTCTCTCTGGTAGGCCACCAAAAGTTTCATCTGCCTCTGGCCTTGCAGGAGAGGATGAAAATGTTTGCAGAGTTTTCTAGAGTTTTGCAAGTCTTTTGATAGCTAAAAGTTGAGTACACGCTGGAACAGTCCTTGTTAAGGCTGAACCCCTAGGAACTAAAACAATCAGCTGAGTTCATTGTGTAGTTTTCTCAAGGCATCTGTGGGGTGTTCAAAACTGCTGGTGTTAGCATAAGAATTGTCCAGTTGGCTGACTGACAGTCTTTGTGCTCAAAGCAACCAGGGCAGCAAGGAAGAGTCCAAAAGCTACTAGTTAGGGAGTCAAATTGCATAGTCGCCTAGTAACTGGGATTTTTTTTTAAAATAGGAAAATGAACATCAGAAGGAGTGCTTAGAATAGGAACGTAATTTATCAATAACACTAATAGTAGCTACTTTAACAGATTTTTAATAGAGTTTAAAAGCCTGCCCAGTGGCTAAGGGAATGAGTGCCCATTCTCCTCTTCTGTCTGACTACCCCTGGATTACACCCCCAGCCCATTAGTGTTCTTTTGTTATGGATTGTTCATAATATTTTACCAGACAATTGATAGATACTATAGACCAGTAAGAGTAAGCTGAGATTATTTTGCCCAAATTAGTTTGAAGAATCTATAGATGTGGGGGTTTGTATTTTAAAAGTTAAATTTTAAAAATAAAGGCCAGTCCTGGTGGCACACACTTGTAATCCCAGTACTCAGAAGGGAATTTTTTTGTGTGTGTTCAAGGTCAGTCTGGTCTATATAGTGAATTCAAGGCCAACAAGGTTACATAGTGAGAACCTGTCTCAAAGGAAGTGATACACAGGATAATGTTCAAATAAAGTAATGAGAAAGCAAACCAAAAGACCCCTTGTACTTCTCATGCTATGCCTCACTTCTCAGAGGTGCTCACTATGAACTGTTTGGGATATATCTTGCTGGTTCTTTTTCTGTCCTTTATAAAAATAAAGTAAAAAAACAATCATGCTATATTATAATTTTTTTACTTTAAGGTGTTGTCTATAAATGTTCATATCTGTGTAAATCTACCTTTAAAATATCACTGCATGCAGTTCCAATGTATGAATGTATCCAAGTTTATTTGATCCTTTCTTGAGAGATATTTCAGTGTTCTCCATATTTAATTATATAAATGATGCTTATCTTTTTACACACAGAGAGATTTCTGTGGAATACAATTAAAAGGTCTGTATTTGTTTGTTTGTTTGTTTGTTTGAGTCAGGGTGTCTCTGTGTAACAGCCCTAGCTCTCCTGGAATCTGCTCTGTAGACCAGGCTATCCTCAAACTCCCAGAGGTCCACTTGCCTCTGCCTCCCAAGTGCTGGGATTAGAGGTGTGCACCACCACCACACACAAAAGGTCTATATTCTTGAAGTTTACAGATAATTGTTAAGATTGTATTCGATGTCAGGCTTGGTTGCTCATGCTTGTAATCCCAGCTCCTGGGAGGTAGAGGCTAATGTGTTGAATTCCAAACTAGCCAATATTATGTAGTGATGTCTTGTATCAAAAAAAAATTGAGCTGAGGGGTGCCAGAGGTGGTGCATGCCTTTATCCCAGGATTTAGGAGGCAGAAGCAAGTGGATCTTTGTGAGTTCAAGGCCAACCTGGTCTATAGAATGAGTTCTAGGACAGCCAGAGATGTACAGAGAAACCCTGTCTCAAAAAAAATACTCTGCATTCCATCATTTTTAATATTAGTGTTTTGTTAAGTTTTATTTATACCATTACAAACTTCCCGAGTTTGTTTTTATGGCACCAAAATTATTCAAATATTTTCTACATAATTTTTATTCAGACACATTCAGGAGGTGGTCAATCTTCAAACACAGCAGAATAAAGAGCTGCAGGAGCTCTATCAACGCCTTCGAGCAACTAAAGATAGCAAAGTGCAATCTTCAGAGATTCCTTCATCACCTGCTTCACCACGTCGGCCAAGATCTTTCAAAAGTAAACTCCGAAGCCGCCCTCAATCTTTGACACATTCAGACAATGTCATTGTTGTAAAAGGTAAACTAATCATAAACATAATCATTTTAGTTGTTGTAAAAGATAAACCAATCATAAGCATAATTGGTTTTTTTTGTTTTTTTAAAAGCATAATTGTTTTTAAAAACTAATCAGATCTCGACATAATGTAGCATGCTTGTAGTTGAAGCACTCAGGAGACTGTGGCAAGATGTTGATGACTTCAAATCTTGTCTGGTGTGAACAGAAGAACCTGTCTCAAGAAAAATAAAATCTGAACAGCAAAATTAGAAAAACAGTGATAGTACAAGTTGCTTTTTATTAGACTGAAATAATTTAATATTGTACACACTGATCTAAAATATTCCTATGTTTTTGGTACTAAATGTTTTTTAGTTAAATAATTAGTATAATTGATGGAATTTGGAGAATAACTAGGTTTGTTTATGTTTATATTTGGAAAACAAACAGGTGGAACTTCAGTATCTACCCTAAATAGTTTCCAAAATGCTCCAGTTAGTTAGAAATGCTATTCTTATATTGAGAGTTAGTATAGAAGTTTGTTGATCGTGCAGGTAAACTTTGAAATACTTCCATGTTGATTTGAAGCAAGAGGTCTTTATATATTACTTTTTAAAGACACAGAGAGAGAGAGAGAGAGAGAGAGAGAGAGAGAGAGAGAGAGAGAGAGAGAGAGAGAACGAGCGAGCGTGTGTAGGCCATAAAAGAGCATCAGATCTCCTGGAGTTAGAGTTACAGGCAGTTGTGAGCCACCTGACATGGGTGCTGGGAACTGAACTCTGGTCTTCTGTAACATCACCAAGCACTCTCAACCACTAAACAATCTCACCAGAACCTTTATATATTATTATTAAGAATATTAGAAAAATCCATTTCTTTTTTATTTTTTTAATTTATTTTTATGCATCAGTATTTGCATACATGTATATCTGTGTGAGGATGTCAGAATCCCTGGAACTGGAGTTACAGACAGTTGTGAGCTGCCATGTGGGTGCCAGGAATTGAACCAGGGTCCTCTAGTAGAGTAGCCAGTACTCCTAACTGCTGAGCCATCTCTCCAGGCCCCCAAAAATCCATTTCTTTTTTAAAGATTTATTTATTTATATTTTATGTATATGAATGTTTGCCTGCATATATGTATATGTACCACATTATATGCCTAGTACCCATGGAGGTCAGAAGACAATGCCAAATCTTCTGAAACTGGAGTTAAGGATAATTGTGAACCATCATATGGGTGCTAGGAAGCAAGCTCAGGTCTTCCAAAAGATCAACAAGTGTTCTCAATTGTGAGGCTATCTCTCCAGCCCCTAAAATGTTATTTCTTTAACTTTGGGAAACTAGTCTATATCTACTTAACAAATAAAGAAATTACTCCTCAGGTTGGACTTCTTTGGTTCCAGATACATAATGAAGGTCAACGTACCACATAACTTGTGCTTCTATTTTTATTGTATACTATTCAGAATAGTGAAGAAGTAGAACTAGCCTAGATGTCCATCAACAGATAAATGGATAAAGAAAATGTGGAGCACCATTCAGTGGAATTTTATTCAGGTGTAAAGAAGAATGAAGTGATGGAAAACTAGTCGTGTATGGTAGTATATACCTCCTGCCCCAACACAGGGAGATTGAAGCAGGAAGCTGGTTGAGTTTGAGGCCACCCCACATTGAGCTATAGGATGCACCTGATAAAAATAGAATTGAAGGGTAGATTAGGATTGAAAACAGCTTTGGAGATTCAGTATCGGAAGTCATAACCTTTAGTCTGATGTTATGGCATTTATAGTTAGACTTCATTTTGTTCCGAAATGCTGTGCTTGTTTACACACTTGTTTTGTTCATTTGTTTAGAGATGAATTCTTTCTATAATTCCCAGCCTTGTCAGGGCGCAAATTATCCCTCTACCTCGGCCTCTGAAGTTGCTAGGACTATAGCAGAGGCACTCTATGATATTCTTTTTCTTATTCTGTGTCATGCTGAAGATTGAACCACAGGACTTGCACACTCGAGGCAAGTGCTCTATCAGTAAGCTTAACCCCTAGTTTATCCAAATGTTTTTTCCTGTGCCCAAACATGACCTTTATTTGAATTTTGCTTATTATTTCAATTATATAAAGTGGATTTTAGTAGTTTCTACCTGTTGTTAAACTTTTCAAATATATATATTGTTTGTTTGTTTGTTTGTTTGACACAGAGTTTCTCTGTGTAGCCCTGGCTATCCTGGAACTCCTGGAACTAGCTCTGTAGACCAGGCTGGCCTTGAACTCAGAGAGACCCGCCTGTCTCTGCCTCCTGAATGCTGGGATTAAAGGTGTGCACCACCACCGCCTGGCTTCAGTTCTATAAACTGTGTGTCATCTATTTTGGAACTCTGCTGCATGTGCTTGTGATTCTTTTACCTTTTGGTATTAGTATATATTTCTGATATGAATATAGGCAATCAGCTTTTTTTAGTTTACTACTTACATGTTGCACCACTCCATTCTTTTCATGTATTTTTTAAAAATTTTATTTTATTTTTTGTGGTCTCTATATATATGTGCTTGTGTGTGTCTGAGTATTGCCACAGCTTGTATGTATCTGGATGTCAAGACAAGTTATGGGAGTTGGCTCTGGAAATCAAGTTGTCAGGTTTGGCAGCAATTGCCTTCACCCACTGAGCCATCTTCCCTGCCCTTTTATACTTTTAATCTGAACAATATTTATTATGGACATCATTATACAGTTAGATCATGTTTTTTATCTATTCTGTCAGCCTTTGTCTTTTATAAAGGGGTTATTTAAACCATTCCAATATAATTTAATTATAAACTAAGAATCATTTCTACTTTTTATTTTGCTATTTGTTTTTTATATCTAATGACCTTTTTGTTCTTCTTTGATTCCTGCTTGGCTTTGTGTTAAACTTGCATTCTTTGTGTGTGTGTGTGTGTGTGTGTGTGTGTGTGTGTGATGTTTCTTTTTTTTTATTTATGTATTTATTATGTATACAGTGTTCTGTCTGCATGCATGCCTGCAGGCCAGAAGAGGGTGCCAGATCTCATCAGGTGGTCGTGAGTCACCACGTGGTTGCTGGGAATTGAACTCAGGACCTCTGGAAGAGCAGCCAGTGCTCTTAACCGCTGAGCCATCTCTCCAGCCCCTAAACTTGCATTCTTAAAAGATTGATTTGTGGGGGTGTGCATGTGCCTTACTCCTTTGAGGTACAGTCCCTCCCTAAGCCTTGGGCTCTTGTTTTCTTAGGTAGGCTGGAAGTTAACAAGCCTCCCTAGCATCTAGAATCACAGGTGTTTGGATGGATGACTTGTTAACTTGGGTGCTGGGTTATGAACTCCAGTCTTCATGATTGTGCAGTAAATGCTGAGCCATGTTTCCAAACCCTAAATAGATATTTTTTATAATGTTTAAATCCTTTATTATATGTTTTTAGTTACTTTCCTGTAGTGGCCATGGGGATTGCAATTAGCTTCTTAGTTCAAGAATAACACTATCTTAATTTCAATGGTATATATATTTTCTTCTGTGTATGTGCCTTCCTTTCTTTTTACACATTACATTTTTACATATGATAAGCAAATCAACAAATTTGTGTAATTATTGCTTCTTGTAGTCATCTTTGCAATCAGATGAGAGAATAAGATAGATATAAGCACAAAGTACACTTATACAGAATATTATATTTACTAATGCAGTTTTTTGTTTCTTCACATACTTTTACTGCATTGCCAACTTTTTTTCATTATAAAGGACTTCATCTATTAATTTTTACAAGGCAACTATGTTAGCAATTCAATTTTTTTCATAGTTTCAATCTATAGGATTTGTTTTACAACGCAGGTTATAGAAAAATGCTTTGGATTCAAAGACTATTAAAAGGACCAATTATAATTCAACTTATAGTTGCTTTTCTCTTTGCCTCAAAACATAACATAAAAACATGTTCATGTTTTGCTTGGGCAATCAAAAGGAAATATTTTAGATTGCTGATTTATGTGTGTCACTGCTTCTAGAAACAGCTGTAACGCTTTATATTTTGTCTTTTGGCCCAGAATTAAATACCCTTAATTGTTTATAACAGATAGAAAAGAATTATAACCAGAATTCTAAATTAATTAGCTATTTAAAGTTCATCTGTTATAAAAATAGATAAATCCTTTTCTGCTATGAAGTTGATTTTAAAACGCATGAAATTGACATAAAATATTTTCTCCTATAAGTGTCTATAATGAATTAATGAATAATATTATGATGTAAGGATCCTCAAAATATAAAATGAAAAAATCATTTTTTTTGTAAATGATTTCCTATCATCTGGACTCAAAGTTTCAAGGACTTTGGGAAATAATCTAAAACAATAGATTTCATTCTTAATAAGAACAGAAATCAAAATCATGATGTACACTTATACCACCCACTCTGTAGCTCAGGGAATGTTATGGAAAAGGGACTGGAAAAAGAAACAAAAGATAGAGTAAAGGGCTATAAACACTATTCCCTAGACTTTCTACAACCATTGTAATCATTAGCTTACTTTCACTGGGACTATCCAAGACCAGCCCTATCAACAATCAGTCAAGGAAGAGGTCCTCACGGGGCCCTATCCTTTACCTCTGAACTATCTATTGATGTCATTTCTAAGAGAGGGTGACTCACCAACCTTTAGTTGTCTACTACCAGGTTCCAAGAGATTGCTCTAAACCTCTGTTCACACAAATATTCTCCATTAATCTTGCTGAGTCACAAAACAAATAGACATAAATGTGAGATATTTGTAAAGTTTTTTGAAATTTTAAATTAAAAACTCTTATATTCAAGAAAGATCTTACTCTATAAATGGTTGTTTAAATGGAAATTTAAATTATGGGGTATTCAGTCAGCAAGAATAACTAGTTATCAGGGGCTAGAGAAATGGCTCAGCAGTTAAGGGAACTTTCTGCTCTTACAAGGACCCACGTTCAGTTGCCAGCGCCCATGTTAGGTGGCTCATGACTGCCTGTAACTCCAACTCCTCAGGCACCTGCACTCATACAGACACACACATACACATAATTTAAAATAATAAAAATATACCTTGAAAAATAACTAGTCATCAAAATAAGCACTGAAAATGTCTTTTTTAGTGTTTCCACGAATTGACCATGTTCCCATCTTTAATGCCTTTGCACAACAAAAGTTTTGGTTTTGATTCCACACATCATTAATGAACTCAAGTACATTTACTCACCACTTGAAAGGGGCACAATGAGTAGAGGACAAGTTACTGAGGAAAGAAAAATTAGTCACCAGTGCCTGAGAGGAAATTCATCTTAACTCCCTGTAAGTTTTAAGTTCCTTTTATCCTTAAGCAGGAGGGAAAAGGGAGGTGTGATAGGAATAGATTGATAGCTAAAGATTTCAAAGCTCTTCTCCATTGTTTTGGAATGGAAAGTGAAACATTTAGTGGCTGTTATGCAGAACCACAAGGTCCAGTCCAGAAGAACTTTTTGTCTTTGAAATTCTTAGTTACTCTTACCTTAGTGTCTTCAACCTTGAAAGGGCAGGGGAAGCTGTTGGTTTGTTTTTTTTTTGTTTTTTTTTTGTTTTTTTAAGGCAAATCAACCTTGTGCTACCAGTCTGGCACAGGTACTCCTTAAAGAAGTAACAGAAATCTAACCCAAAGGCTAAGGTAAAGAGATGACAGATAAAAATATGAATGCTTCTCAATGTTGATTGTTTTATTTTTCTCAGAATGCAAATGTCCTTTTCAATGTGGAATCATTTTTCCACATGAGAACATATGATACAGAGAAAAGTCAGTATTGAATAATAACTGAACAGTTATTTGTGCTATCACAGGATGTCCAATTTTTTATTAAGTATTATTTGGGTAATATGAAATGAATTCATAGTTTGCTCACTAAAAACAATAGCAAAATATGAATATTATTGAACTTTGCAGACCCAAGGGAAAAGTGTGCTTCATGTCCCTAAAAAGGAAGTTAGGCAGCTATTAATCTGTGTAGTCCATATATCTAAGGTATCATCTGTAGAGGAACTAGTAATATTTGGTCAACTGTGATCATTAAAAATACTTCTAAGTTCAACTAATACCAAATATGCTAAAGGGTTTATTTCAGTTTTCCCTCAATTATAGCATTAGGTTTCTGAAATAAGAAAGGGTAAAGTAAAAACAGAGATTTCATAGTTTTGTCTTTAGAACTTAATAACATTTACTTTTTTATTCATTTTTTATTTCATACATGGAACCAACTTTATAACCCTTTGAAATCTTAAAACTGATTTAGTTGGTCCTCCAAAAATGTCATACAGTTTGATCGTCTTTAACTCTACTACATACACATACTTTAAAAAAAAAAGATTTATTTATTAAGTATACAGCGTTCTGCCTGCCTGCATACATGCCTTCAGGCCAGAAGAAGGCACCATTACAGATGGTTGTGAGCCACCACATGGTTGCTGGGGGAATTGAACACAGAACATTTGGAAAAGTAGGCAGTGCTCTTAACTGCTGAGCCTTCTCTCCAGCTCCATATCCACAGTTCTTATAAGACACTCTTCCTTTTTCTTCATAGGTTAAAATTCACCTTCAGGAAGCTGGTATTCATTCCTCTAAATCATCTCTACCTACATGTGTAGGATATTGTCTGCCATTATGAAAAATAGGCAATCTCCTTCATTAATTTGCAGTAGTGTTGTCTGAGTGGATCCCCTTCCTTTTTGAAAGTATGGTCTTCTTGCTTGATAGTTTTTCAGCATTTTGATTCTATTTCGTTGTCTTCTTGCCATATATTTGCTTGTTTGCTTTTATTTATTAATTTTGATTTGTAAATTTATTTTATTTTATGTATATGAGTGTTTTGTCTGCACGTATGTTTGTGTATCACATGCCTGCCTGGTGCCTGCGGAGGCCAGAAGAAGGCACAAAATTCCCTGAAACTGGAGTTGGAAACACTGTGAGTCATCATGTAGGTGTTTCTAATCAACACCTACAGTTCACCACTGAACCATCTCTTGGGTCAGGAAATGGCTCAGCAGGCAAAGTAACTTGCCCCTAAGCCGATAACCTGAGTTTGATCCTTGGAATCCACATAATAGAAGCAGATAACTCACTTTTGCAGATTGTCCTGTGACCTACACACACACATACACATATACAACACACAGACACACACACACACTTACGTGTTAAAAAAAATAGGAACGTTATCTAATTATCAGTTGCAATTCCTTTACCTAGTTTTTCCTGTTTTTTTTTCTTGTAGATGCTCTGTGTGTGGAGAGTAATACAGCATCACGCCAACAATCTTCAGCCAGTAAAAAGGGGATGTTCACAGATGATTTACACAAGTTGGTGGATGATTGGACAAAGGAAACAGTAGGAAATTTTCCTAGTAAGCCAAGTTTAAACCAACTCAAACAGAGCCAACAAAAATTAGAGACAGAAAACTGGAACAAAGTATATGAAGTAAGTCTCTTATCCTCTGTCCTCTTTATAAAAATTAAAAACTATAAAAATTGATTTTGGCCCATGATTAGTGCTCTAAAATGGTATGGAATATGATATTGAGACTTTGATCCTTATCTAGATTTATTGTGTCTTTGAGCAAATTATCTTTTAGACCACGAGTTACCAAATTTTTATGAAGAAATCAATTAGTAAACATTTTAGACTTTCCAAGCCACAGGGTTCCAAGAATCAACTTGATTGTAATGCAAAAGCAGTCTAAGAAAATATGTAAACAAATGGTTGTGCCTCTGTTCTATTACCTCTTGATTTATGGAATGTTCCTTCCTTGAAGCCCCTCCCATTCATAGGAGTTCTTATTTTTCCTTAACAAATCAGTTTACTGTGCTTAGAAAACAAGCAAACGTGACATAAAAAGAGGTGGTGGGCCAAAATTTGCTGGCTCTAGTTTTGCACTATTCTCTCTCTAAAAATGCAAAATATTCAGAATGAATTCATCTGGAGAGAGGTACAAGAATTAAGTATTGAGAAAAAGATGTTCTATGCTACACATCAATGTTCTTTAAACCCAATAAGGTATCTGAACTCTCTTTGTTTAATTCATAAAATTAATTTTAAGGCCATAGAAGGTAAAATATTATAAGATCTATTAAGTTTATAGAAAAGATGCCAGTTATTACACATGACCATAGAAGATAAGATGTATATATAAGTGATATGTGGGAGTTCTGTGTGTGTTCTAGAGTGGGAAGAAGATAATTATCAAACAGTTATAGAATAATATGATTTAGACAAACATGTTAGGCATATGTTGATGAATATATAAGTATGAAAATCACTGAACAATATGCTGGATGGTGGAATTTGGACCTTATTTTACCTTGTGCTTTTTTTGTGTCCAAATATTTAAAATAAGTAATTTTTTTTCAAGGTAAGCAAACCTGTTAAAATGTTAAGTGTTAGAATTTCAGCCTCTGTATTAGATGATATCTCTGAGTATATTATTCTTGTGTGTATACTTGATAATAGATATAGTTATTGAACATAGTTAAAATAGTTTTATTGAGCTGAGATTGTAGCTTAGTGTTAGAGCAGTTGCCTCACAGGAAAAAAACCCTGGATTTGGTACCATACACTGTGAAAAAAGGTAGAAAATGACCATACTTTTTTTTTTTTAGTTTTTCGAGACAGGATTTCTCTGTAGCTTTGGAGCCTGTCCTGGCACTAGCTCTTGTAGACCAGGCTGGCCTCGAACTCACAGAGATCCGCCTGCCTCTGCCTCCTGAGTGCTGGGATTAAAGGCGTGCGCCACCACCACCTGGCTCCAAAAATGCTAGAACTCAGAAGTTCTGAAAGTGAATGCACACCCCACACAGTTCCATTTGAAGCCACATGTGTACATGTATGCAGTATTCAGTACACTTCCATTTTGATTTCCTAAGTGACTCCCTTACAGCTACACTGTTACTGTTGCCTCTAATCTTTTTAAAAATTGTTTATATTTCTTTTGATTTTATTTTATTTATTTATTTATTTTTTATTTTTTGAGACAGGGTTTCTCCTTAGCTTTTTGGTTCATGTCCTGGAACTAGCTCTTGTAGTCCAGGCTGGCCTCGAACTCACAGAGATCCGCCTGCCTCTGCCTCCTGAGTGCTGGGATTAAAGGCGTGCGCCACCATGCCCGGGCAACCATACTTCTTTAAACAAAACATAATGATGCACATCTGTTGTCCCAGCACTCAGGAGGCGGAGACAAGAGTATCCTTAGTTGGTGCCTGAGATGCATCCTAAAAAAGTACATCTATTTTTAATGTTGAATGAAACTTTCAAATTTTGGCTTCCTTAAGTAGTGAACAATGTATCTGCTTGGGAGATATATTTGTCTTATTCCTGGCATCAGTTGATGCTCAGATACTATCATTACTTATAAAATTTAAGATCCTTCAGAGGAATTTCAAGACATAAATGCATAGGTTCTGCTGGTGAGAGACTGAGTGCTGTATGAAGGAAGGTTTTGTTGATTAGCTGGATGGTGGTTTATTGATTATAAAGGAAGGTGTTTGCAAGAAGAGTAAGGAGAAAATTATATGTAAATAAAAGTGAGAAAAATCTTTTAACACATTTGGGTTCCAATGTTAGCCAGTCATTTACTAGTTGTATGACTTTATATCTTTTTTGCCTCAGAGTTTTTGCATTTCAAATGTGGATAATCCTTGCAGGATTATTGCGAAGATTAAATAGCACCAATAAAGTTAAACCATCACAGGGGTTACTTATATGTGGTAACTATTTTTGTATTTTAGATTTGGTTGGTTATATATTTGTGTAGAGGGGTCAAGTAATACTCTTGCTTGGTACTGTCCTGTAGCCCTACTTAGATATTTGTGTTTGCATGATCATGTATCAAGCACTTTATTGTGTACCAAGTGCTCTGCTAGACACAAGTTTAGTGAGTAAAAGCAAATAAGCCATAAATAAGTATTAAACTGCAATTATAAGAATTACAAAGAAAGGTATAGGGAGATATCGTTAAATAAGGGAAATTTAATCTTCTAAAAAGTGGTCATTGAGGGCTAGCCAGATGGTCCAGTGGGTAACGGCACTTGTCAGCAAGCCTGACTACCTAAGTTAAGTTCCCAGAACCCACATGGTAGAAAGAGCAAACTGACCCCCACAAGTTGCCCTCTGACCGCCACATGCAATTGTAAGTAGTTAAGGAAAGCTTCCTTTATCAAGTGAAAATTGACTGAGATCTAGAGAGTAGGAGTTAACTTAGTTCCTGCCTAAGCAAATACAAAAGCCTGATGTGAAGAAAGAGATGTGAAAAGACTGAAAGTAATTCAGTCTGGCTGAAAGAAAGAAAGAGAGTAATGAACATACTCGAAAGAGTAAATGGCTTCTCAGATGCGGTAGTGATGAGGAATGCTGTGGTTTTTTTTTTTTTAAGAAGAATGGATAGTTATGATGCCCCAGGTCTTTAATAGGAGCACATTTGAATTATCATTTCTTTTGAGACGAGCACTGACTGAAGCAAGAAGACAGACTCTGGTAGGATTAGGGTCAACGTTTTTTGGCAAGTCAGGAGTTACTCATACTAGTCTAGTTGATGAAAAGTTGAGTTGTACAGATGTGAACAGATTCCAAAGAACATTTAAGAAAGAATAGACAAGATTTGGCACTTGAATGACTGTATGACTTGGTTGATAGTGGCTGCTGATCACTGAAATGGCATACATGAACAGATAATGGGTTTTGGTAGGGGAAGATTGCCTATTTGTTTGGGCACTTGAATCAGAGATATCTGAGGAATATTCAAGAGTAGACTTTATAGCCAGGTGGTGGTGGTGGTGCACGCCTTTAATCCCAGCATTCGTGAGTCAGAGGCAGGCGGATCTCTGTGAGTTCGAGGCCAGCCTGGTCTACAAGAGCTAGTTCCAGGACAGGAACCAAAAAGCTACAGAGAAACTCTGTCTCGAAAAATAAAAAAAAATAAAAAACCATAACCACTGTTTTTAGGACAATACTATTCATTACATAACTTAATCAATGGAAAAAAGTATGAATTTTAAAATACCACTTTCAAATCCCACCACCCAGAAATGGTCATCTCCTTCTATAAATGTTAGAGGTCAGATAATTTTCTTTATTAATACATAGATGTGCATAAATAAGTTTATTCAAGGGTGATCATACTATATTGCTGTTTTGAATCAAAAGCACTAAATTTAATTTTACTTTAACAGAAAGAAAATACTGATAAGAAGAGATTGCTGAACTTTAAATAAAATATTTTGTGCAACTCAATATAATTTTGCCATTCATTTTCAGGTCAAACTAAAAACTTTTATCCTAACTTACATTGAAAGTTTCTAACAAAAGTTCAATTCAAAGTTTAGTTCTAGCTTGGTAATTCAGTGTAGAACTAAGAATTTGAGGCTGCTTCTAGAATTATTTACATTTATTGGAATTATTCCTATATGTATTAAGAATATATTATAATCTCTACACATGTGTTTAATCACAGCATAATGTTAAGAGTAGCCAGCAAGGCAGGAATATATCTTTCAGTACTGTCCAAAGCACAATTGTCTGTTTTCAGTTTAAATTTAGAATTGGTTGTGGGGGGGAGCTGGGAAGATAGCTTAACTAGTAAACTACTTACCGTGCAAGTACGAGGACCTGAGCCTATATGAAAAAGCTGGGTTTGTGATACATGCATAACTCCCAGCCCTGGGAGGCAGAGTCAGGTGAGTTGTTGGGGATTGCTAGCTAGCCAGCCTTGCCTACTTAGTGAGCTTCAGGCCTATGAGAGAGTCTTTCTCAGAAAACAAGTTATCCTGAGGAACTACACCCAAAATGGACCTCTTGCCTCCATATGCACATACGCCTACATGCATGCACACACACCAAAATAAAAGTAAATGTATAAGCATATAACAGAAGGGCTAGAGTGGTTAATAACACTGGCTGCTCTTTCAGAAAACAGATTTGATTCCCCATACCCACATGGCTGCTCATTTGTCTGTTAACTCCAGTTCCAGGGCATCTGATGCCCTCTTCTTCCACCTATACATATGCAAACAAAAAACCCATACACACAAAATAAAATAAAAATAGGGCTGGAGAGATGGCTCAGTGGTTAAGAGCACTGCCTATTCTTCCAAAGGTCCTGAGTTCAATTCCCAGCAAGCACATGGTGGCTCACAACCATCTGTAATGAGGTCTGGTGCCCTCTTCTGGCCTGCAGGCATACACACAGACAGAATATTGTATAGATAAATAAGTAAATAAAATATCCCTTAAAAAATAACAGAAGTGTCAGATTTCAAGATAGTTAGAAGGGAACAAGGAGAGTTTTACTGAACATCTGCTGTGTGTCAGGTCCCTTGTTACACTAACTATTCCTCTGTGTCCAGAGAATCATGTAGGTAAGATGGGCTATTTTCATTCATGCCTGCAGTGTGAAAGCACGTTAATGGATGGAAGAAAATGAAGTAAAAGCAAAAGAATAGTACTATCATAAGTAAAGTAGGGACTAAAGTGTGAACAGGGAGTGAATATGGGCCTTAGAGTTATTTGAAACAGTGTTGAAGTTCCTGTGTCACTGTTAACTTGTTTGGTGGTTTTGGGCTACTTAGCAATTTTAGTTTCTGTTTCCTCATCTGAAAATGCCTATACTGCAAGGCAGGGCAGTTAAAAATGAGCTGAGGTAAAGAATGTTACCACTGCATAACTCATAGAAAGGTGCTCCACTCAGTATAATAGTGGAGGTAGTGAGCCTTAAAAAAATAGGACTATAGACTGATAAACAATATGCCAAATGAACTGATTTTTTTATGTTTGTTTTTGTTTTTTGTTAGAGTACTCCGTCTACTATGGGCTACACATCAACATGGATATCTTCTCTCTCCCAAATTCGTGGCGCTGTCCCAACTTCCTTACCACAAGGACTCCCACTCCCTTCATTTCCTGGGCCATTATCATCATATGGAATGCCCCATGTTTGTCAGTATAATGCTGTAGGGGCCACGGGGTATCCAGTACAGTGGGTAGGAATTTCGGGAACAGCACAGCAGTCTGTAGTGGTTCCTGCCCAATCTGGGGGACTCTTCCAGCCCGGGATGAATTTGCAGGCATTTCCAGCTTCACCAATGCAGAATCCGGCATCAATCCCTCCTGGTCCTAAGTGAATCCAAATAGATGCTGAAACAAGGGGAGAGGACTTTCATCAAATACCTGTGATACTAAACTTTCTTCTTGAGTTCTGCCATATTTTCTCTCATTTGAGCCCACTTTCAACTGTGTTTTTTGTTGTTCCAATACGATATTTGGTACATCTCATCATTCTGTAGTAATGTGCGCTTTGCACATAGAATACTGCACACAGAAATGTTTTTCACTTCAAATCCTATCCTCTTTGATACTTGATTTTTAAAAAATACTGTTCAGAATGCTTTAATAAGCTCGGTTTGAGTGTTACCATTTCCAGGACACTTTCATGTGTTGCTGAGAAGCTCTCACCCCACTTTTTTATGCTGCTACCAGCAGTTGTATAATACTTTTCTTTAAAGTGTGTAAAAACTATGTAGATTGGTTCTCCCCAAATGTGGATGAGGTAAGACTCTCCAATCGCCAGTCTTGTGGGATTTGTCACAACTGTCTTGGGTTTACTCTTCACAGAAGGCAGTAAGTAACTGGCTGCAGGAAATGTTTTGATGTATAACTTTAGTATACTTTTGTCAAGCAGTCCAGAACATGAGTTTTTAATGTGATTTTCTTCCCGTCATCACAGCAGTAGGAGTGAGGGGTTGTTTTAGGTGAGGCGGAGGGAAAGAAAAAAACAGAACTGTAACAGTTCCTTGAACCTACAGCTACTAGAGCTGCTTTTGGGTTCCGGTAATAACCCAAAGCAGCCATTTTTTCTCATGTGCACACTGCTTTGGTTTTGAGCATCTGAGAGGCACTGACTTGGCTTGCATTCTTTTGCTAGGTATTGCAGCTGATGTGAATCTCATTTGGGGTAATCCTTGTAATCCTAAACAAGGAGATTCAGGTTAACACTTCTGTCAATCCATTCTTCTAAAGTGAAATGTACTTGACACATTAGGGTTTGTAGCTTTTGAGACTTTTACATAAAACACTGGCTTTACAGGGTTCTAAGAAATGGAGGATCCACACCATCCTGCAGTGAAATAGTACAACCTAGGATGATATTATTTAAATTGCCTTTAACCTTTTTTGATGACAGTTTTTTGGTTGTTATAATTTCTTACTAGTATCTATAGTCTTAGACCATTTTAGATGTTAGATGTGTTTGTCAGCCTCTTGAAAATTTGAGAGAATTCACTGTCAAGTTGCACTTTACTGGGTTTTATCCAGTTTTAGGAGGAAAGGAGGCAGTGTCAAAATGTACGCCTTTGGTTTTTAGGAAGGTTAACTTCAGTAATCTTAAAGATTAGTCACAGGGTTACCTAATAGTCAGTCTGTGAAACCCAAATAGAATTTTTACATGCTATATTATCAGCTACTAAGTACACATGTTCAAGTGACTTAACATTCACTGAAGCTTTGAAAGTCGTTTCTAATACGTTTTTCTATTTAAAAATTCTCTTGGTAACCATTCCAAATTGTGTTCAGTGTTTCTGTTAACAGATTTTCCTCCCTGTTCCTCTAAAAAAAAACTTACTCCCATGGACTTGCCGGGAAGCTAGAAGAACTTTTCTTTTTATTTCATACAGTACACTTTGTGACAGTCGGTACACTTTTTAAGAAGTTGTCTTCTATTACTTACCTAAAGGTCACACCCACCATCCCATTTTTGTCACTGGTACTGGGGGCATTCTGTGGATTGCTATTGGGTGTTAATGTAGTGCAGTTGCTTGCATTGCAGTGTTTTCCATGTGTACAAAACTGTGCTCCTAAAACCCATAGTTCCTTAAAACTGGGTTTCATTATAAGTTGGTTTCGTATAATTATATTGAGATAAACAACCTATAAGGTGAAATACTACAGGTTTTAAGATGGGATCTTCTCTAGTTGCAATCATTTTAAACCGTGTGCCCCAGAATGAAAAAAACTCCACGGGTTACATGTACAATCCCATTTACTAGTGGCTGCTCTACATAGTATGTTCTGTGTTTTGTTAAACATCTCAGTTTTACATATAATTCATCATTATTGTTTGCCTGCAGATGTTTGCAGTGCCTTGTAATATTTAGAATCTTTTCAGGTTTTGCTGGAAAGAAAAGTCATCTTCTAAAGTTTGAAGATGGGGAATAGTGTACTGCTGTCTCCATGCTGACTGCAGTATCTGGGTTAACATATATATTACATATACATTATGTATATGTAATGTGTAGAAGTTAAAGCGTACAGAAAAAGGGAGTGTTCAGAAATGAAGAAAACAATGTTATTCACTTTGCTGTGGGGTTTTCTTTACTTTTTTATTTTTTATTTGATTCAGATTATAGTCACTTTGATTGTAAATATTGGTTAGTTTTCTAGAGGGGGATTTGTATTATTTCTTAATTTTGCTAAGTTAGAATAGTGCTGTTTCCGTCCTTGCCTGAAGTACTTTTTCTCTCCCATAAATAATGAATCAGATAATGCTCAGAAGTTCTCTTTAACAAAGAGCCTAGTACATATAACATGCCTTCTGCTCATTTCTAGAAGTGCATATAATGGGCCTTCTGTTCATTTCTAGAAAGCACGCAAACCTTTTCATTTTCTTTCTTGTAATAAACGTAAAGGTTGTGCTTAACCACTGTCTTGTGAAGTTTGCTTGGGAGGTAGTCTGTATGTCCAGCCGCTCTGTTTACTTCTCCAAGTGCACATCTGATGAGCAGCATTGTGTCTTCATGTGCGGCAACATAAGCACTCCACCATGAAGCACTGCTGTTGTGTCTGTGAAGTTGGGTGTAACATCCTAAGACTGTGAAACCATTACTGGTGTATTCAGTGCAGATAAACCCTTCATATACCTGGAGCACTCTTGAATCTAAAGTAATTTGCTGTAAGTTAACAAATAATCCTGCAGTTTTTCATCTCTTCCTTGCTTCATATCAAGCATATGTTCTAATAGTTTGACAGGAAAACTTAACTGTGAAAGTTTAAAAGGCACTTCCGCTGTGATTTTTGGGTTGAGTGTAGAGTGTTTTTCTAAAGTTATAATGGAATGTTTGTCATCTGAAGACCCCAGATTTAATTGCAGTCCAGTTACTTTTGTTTATCTACCTCGTTTTTCAGTACTGTTTTAGGTGCACAAGTAAATGTTGCCTGTGAAACTTGCTCTTTTGCTTTGATTCTTTATGTTGTTTAGATTCTCAATCTGGCTTGCCTTTTCATCCTAGCACTCACCATGCGTGTGAGATGAGAGGACCCATCATTCTGCCACCAGTCTGTGTTTAAGTGATGAGAGCCATATACCTAAGTGTTATAAAGTTAGGGGATTTGGGGATGGAAAGCAAAGAGAGAAATCAAATTGGTGGCAATATAAGACTTAGTGGTGGGAGTTAGTTTTCAAATAAACAAATGTTGCAGATGTATTGAAGTGAGATGGTCCCAGTGCCTGAGAATGCTTTCTCATCTCGGTTTCTAAAGGGCTATGGGTTGAAATTGCTTTAACTACTACAGTGAAATACTTGACCTCCTAGACCCATCTTCAAAATATTGCCTGGTATTTACAGTGACGGTTTGTTTTCTTGAAATGGCAGAATGCATTTCATAGTTGGTAGTAAGGGTTTAGATAGTTGTTTATCTAATCCCTGTAGTTTATGGAGTTGACTCTCTTTGCTGTATTTTCTAAGCATTAAAAATAATACATTCCCTTTTCCCCCTTTTAAAAGAACCCAGCAAATGTTTGTAACTGGATATTTCCTGTTTCACATGTTTACCATGTAATAGTACATTTTTAATACTAGTACATGTTGTATTTCAGTCATCGTTTCTAAGTACATTTCTGAGGTATATTTGCCATCAATTCAGTTACCTCATGTTCTGTTTGATTAAGAAAAATCTGAGCCTTCTGAGGTGGTATGCAAGCCATTTTCTAGAATAGAATGTTTGGTTGGTTTTTTTATCGGTAGTTTACCAGGGACTTATTTTGCCTCCCTTTCTTTAGAAGATGTAATAGAAAGGTTTGTATGTATAGAAAAGGCTTTTGATTTGGTAATTATAATTCTAGGGTTAAAATTTTAAAATCTAATCCAGATTACAAAATGAAAACACTCAAACATAGTAAAAAATTCTTCTAAGTAAAATTAGTATGCAGTTTATATGGAGCCGTACTCTCAGGCCACCCTGGAAATAGTCTTCTTTTTGTGTGTATGAAGGATAAATTCAAACATTGATCCAGGGATCTTGATGACTAATGTAAATGGGCCCAAAGTAGTAGCCAGGTTAAAGTTCCTTTCCACTAAGATGGTTGAAAGAGTGTACACATCAACAGCTCAGATTCTGGAAGGTTTTCTCTGAAGTAAAACAATGCAGACTGTTACAAAGCCAGAAGTCAGGCAAGAGGGCAAGGGAAGGACTAAGCTCTGAAGGGACAATGCTCTAAAATGTGCACTAGTCACCCTTCTAGCTTTTTTACATTGTATTTCTTTTGATATAATTTCAGATTTAAGATTGAGATTTGTAGCCCAGACCCCTCAGCAGATACAGTGGATATAGTGATTGATGAGAAAGTGCAGCTGAAGGTCTGTCATGCTCAGTCACTTAAAACTGTAATTTGTTTAATACAAATAGTAAGCATGTAGACCTAATGCAGCATGGGAGCCACTCAGGAAGTTTATGCAATTAAACTTTCATGCATATTTACCGTGAAGTATGTAGAATTTCAGCCAATTCTCAACACTTAACATTTAGTTATATATGTGAACTCTCCTTTCTTAATTTGGGAATGTAGCATTATATAGAATGCTGTTCAGTTTAATTTTAGCCCTTTTTAACATTACCTTTTCTTCTTTTCCTTTTTTTTTTTTTTTGGTAAGCCAAGTGATCTACCCTTCATCAGTTGTCTGGTTTTGATTCTTCGAAACTGTGATTTTTATTTTAATTTTTACCCAACTGTTGTTAAGTATTTTGTTTCCTGGAATTTTGTTTGAAACAAAAATAAAGGCTGTGTTAAATTACTATGTCACCTTATTAAAATTCTGTCAGCTACTGCAGTCATTTGGCTTAAATTGGTTCTTTATCAAATATAATTTAGCAGATTTATGAAATTTTAGTCTTACAGGGCTTTGGGGTGGGGAAACCATGTGGTACCTGTTGATTTACATGCAATGCTAATGCTTTTTTAGTGGGCCTCCCTTCTCCACAATTTGCAAATGAACAAGAGTTGTAATCTTCTGTGTTACCTAGGGTCTCTTTTTTTAAAAAAATTAAAAACCTTCTTTATTTTACATACCAATCCCAGTTCTCCCTCCCCTCCTCCTGCTCTCCCCATCCTCTGCCCACTCCACCCCCATCCACTCCTCAGAGGGTAAGGCCTCCCCTGGGTAGTCAACAAAGTCTGTCACATAACCACATAGAGGCAGGATCAAGACACTTCCCCCTGTATCTAGGCTGAACAATGTGTCCCTCCATAGGGGAATGGGCTCCAAAAAGCCAGGTTATGCACTAGGGATAAATCCTGATCCCACTGCCAGTGGTCCCACAAACTGCCCAAGCCATGCAAATGGATGGAACTAGAAGAAAAAAAAAATCCTGAGTGAGGTAACCCAGACCCAGATAGACAAACATGGTATGTATCACTCATAAGTTTAAAGTCATCAGATTAAAGCAAAGGATAACCAGCCTTATAGCCCATGACCCCAGAGAAGCTGGGGAACAAGGAGAACCCTAAGAGAGGCATGCATGAATCCCCCTGGGAAGGGGAAACAGACAAAAATCTGAGAAAATTGGAAGTGTGAAGGGAAGAAGGGAAGGTGGAAGGGGATAGGGAGGGGGGAAAGGGAGGGAAGAGGAAAACATGAGGGAAGAGGATGCTCAAGAAGGAGGAAGGACAGAGAGGGAGAGCAAGGAAAGAGATATCTTGACTGGTGGAGCCATTAAAGCACTAGAGAGAAGAAACCTGGCACTAGGGAAATTTCCAGGAATCCACAAGGATGACCCCAGCTAAGACTCTAAGCAAAAGTGGAGAGGACGCCTAAATTGGCCTTCCCCTGTAATCAGATTGATGACTACCTTAATTCACATCATAGAACCTTCTTCCAGGAACTGATGGAAGCAGATACCAACATCTATAGTGAAATACTGGACCGAACTACCAAAGGCCAGTCCAAGAGAGGGAGGAGCGATAATATGAGCAAAGGGGTCAAGACCTTGAGGGTGATACCCACAGAAACAGCTGACCTGAGCTACTGCGAGCTCACTGACCAGACTGACAGCTGGGGAACCTGTATAGGACCAAACTAGGCCCACTGAATGTGGGGGACAGTTGTGAGACTTGGGCAGTCTGTGGGGCCGGGATTTATCCCTAGTGCTTGAACTGGCATCTAGGAGCACATTGTCTTTGGAGGGACACCTTGCTCAGCCTGAATATAGGGGGCAGGCCTTGGTCAGATATTTTTGACTCCCCATGGGAAGGAAACCTTACCATTTCTGAAGAATGGATGGGAGATGGGGTGCGGAGAAGGGTGGGGTGAAAGGAGGGTGGAGTGCAAATGGGGATATCTATGTCAAATGAGAAAATATTGTATTAAAAAGATTCTTAACAAAAAAGAAAAAAGATTTTAAAGGCAAATACAAACATGTTATATAGTTGTAAACAAAAATGTAGCTCTTATGGGCTGGAGAGATGGCTCAGAGGTTAAGAGCATTGCCTGCTCTTCCAAAGGTCCTGAGTTCAATTCCCAGCAACCACATGGTGGCTCACAACCATCTGTAATGAGGTTTGGTGCCCTCTTCTGGCCTGCAGACACACAGACAGGATAGTGTATACATAATAAATAAATATTTTAAAAAACGTAGCTCTTAATATTGAGAAGATTCACTTTTTGAGCAGTCAGACCTGATAGATAACAAGTATAAGAAATTACCTTGATAAAATGAAAAATCTTTGTTTCCTAGGCCCATCACTTAACCTTTCACATTCCAAGACCAAATAAACTGAAGCCAGCCCTCAACCTTAAAAGGAATAAGAGCTACTTTACTGTGAGTCAAATATGGGTGACCTGGGAACATGGATTTGGGTTGCCTCCAATGAAATCAAAATCAATGCATTTTCCAAATACTGTGGGAGGACCACAGGGAGGTACTTCCACAAAGCATGAAGATGCTGCCATGGCTGCCATGCTGTCTGATGACTTGATATTTTGATTTTAAGAAAGGGTTTCACTGTGTAGTCTATTCTATCCCAAACACACGCATCACCTCTCCTGTCTCCTGAAAGTGAAAGAGATGTTTGATCAGACAGTGGCGAGCAATGAATGACTATTATGGGGATAATAAAAGAGAACCCGGGATAATCTGGCTCTGGACCTGCAGCATTCCAGTTCTCTACTCTCAGGAAGTTCTAATGAATAAGCCTTGTGAATTTTTGGCACTCTGTTACCCTTTGGGTAGAACTCCAGTTTACAGTTCCAGATAAGCTTTATCATTTTAGGCAATAAGTAAGCCGGGGCTGGGGAAAGGGCTCAGTGGACAAAAGCACCTGCCATGAATGCCCGAGGACCTGAGCTCAGCGCTCCAGAACCCACATCACTATAAATATCCCAGCGCCCTCTACTGGAAGATGGGAGGCTGAGACAATGGAAGCATCCCACAGGTTGCATGGCTTATGCAATAGCAAAGAGAACTTGTCTCAATTAAGGAGAAAAGGTAAGACAAACACCTGAATGTTGTCCTCTGACGTGTATCCACATCCCCCAAAGAAGAATTTACACATACTTGTACTCACACATTACATATTATATACAAATATAGATAACTCTCCCTTTGTATTGTGTACTATTAATACCAAAATCAGTCTTTTTATAATACTGATTTTAATAAAACATTCTAAAGCTACATTTAATCTCAGCCATTTTTGGCCAAATAAGATATTTCCACAACCCTTTTTTAACGTACCCTCAGCTTTTCCTTTCCTTTTTTTTTGTTAATAAAATGCATCTTTATACCTTTTGTTTTTATTTTTCAGAACAGGATTTTTCTATGTAGCCTTGGCTGTCCTGGAACTTGCTCTGAAGACTAGGCTGTCCTCAGCATCACAGAGATCTGCCAGTTCCAAGAGCTGGCTGGGATTAAAGATATGTGTCACCACTGCCTGGCTATATGCCTTTCTTTATAAAACAGCTACTTCTCTTCCACAGAGTTCTATCTCAGAATTTCTAGTAGTTTAATTACACGTGTTAACCATAATTTTTGACATTGCATAACCTTGATTCCTAATTAAAACTAGAAAATATTGGAAATTGTCTTTTATCTGTATTTTTACATTTTGTAACTTCTAGAGGTGATTTTTCATATTTATGAATATGCCTACATGCTTAGTTTCATTTTACTATATAAAGAACAATATGCCACACAAATAACATTACAGGGACTCGAGAGACTATATTTAGGAATATATATGTATATACAAATACATATTTGCATGCAGTAACAGTGAAAAAAGAGGCCATAAATTTGGTGAAGAGCAGGGATGGGTATATGAGAGGGCTGGAAGTGAGGAAAGGGAAGGAAGAATGTTATTAAGTTATAATCTCAACAATAAAGTAGAATGAAAAAGAACAACATCACGAAGGATAGATATGTAAATTCAGCTGAGTGTTTCAAGCATTCTAGCTCACCTGCATTTTACCGCGTCATTTCTCCTTAACATTTTCAAATTATCGAAAGATATTTGAAACTGAGTTCAAGTGGATATATACTATAAAACGCAAATGTTATTGAAAACGTCGTCTAGAAATATCCCATTTCAGTCAGGCGATAATGGCGCACACCTTCAATCCCAATACTCAGGAGGCAGAGGCAGGAGGATCTCTGAGTTCAAGGCCAGCCTGGCCTACAGAGTTAGATCCAGGACAGCCTGAGCTATTACACAGAGAAACCCTATCTCAAAACAACAAAAACAGAAAGAAAGGAGAGAGAGAGAGAGAGAGAGAGAGAGAGAGAGAGAGAGAGAGAGAAGAGGAAGAAGTCCATTTCTGTCTCATTCAGTTTTACTTTATTTTTTAGACAATGTCTCCTGTAGCCCAGTCTGACTTGAACTCACGGCACAGCTAAAGATGAATTGACTGTCTGCTCCTCCTGCCTCTACCACCCGAGAGCAGATTCTAGGCACCACAACCCACAGTTTATGAGCTGCTAGGGTTTAAAAGCAGAACTTCATGCGTACTGGGCAATCACTTTAGCAACTGAGCTACAAGCGCAGTCTGTCTTTTCTTAATTACACTTGAATTGCTGGCGAACATTTTGTGAGACTTTAAACAAAGCTACCTATGAGGTTGCTTCTTTGGTTTGGTTATTGCCGGCAAGTCAGACAAGTACCAAAAAATCACAGAAACAAAGAAACTAATTTTTTTTCAGTAATACTTTATTTACAAAGGTAAATAAATTTGGCTATGGGGCCTAGTTTACTGAAACTAAAATGTTAAGCTTGTTTTTCTCATCTCTACTCCTTTTCCTGATAGTATGCCGCTGAAGTTTATGTTCTCAAAAGCTAACTATCATGTTCTACAGAAGACCAGGTAGGAGATGTATGTCTCAAAGACTCATTGAAAAAATGCAAGATTTTCCCAAGAAAGAATTTCAGGTGCATCATATTGGAGGGGGATTTAGAATGAGTAAACAGATATTGTGACATAGGGATTTGCTCCAGTATTTTACAAAGAAGTATGTAGATGGCAATAGGATAAGGTTTGAGTTTGCCCATAGAAGCCGGACTCCTTCCTTGATGTTTGGTGTCAGTGAGTTTTCCACACCTTGGCTTCCAAGCAGAGAAGCTAGGAACTTGAAGTGGAACACATCAAAGATTTGAGGAAGTGGGTAGAAGTGCAAAGATGGTGAAGGAACAGAGCAAGAGCCATAGGAAGTAGAAATAACAGGTTTGAGTGGAGCAGATGAGGGAGAAGTCAAGTGTACCGAAGACTAGTGAAGTTCCATAATATCTCAGAAGGAAGGATTGGACATGGAGTGTGTTAGTCAA